TAATTCCCCGCCACGGCGCTTGTTGCGGCGGCGGGCTATTTAGCAAAGCCCTGCCGTCTCTTTCGCTCGTGAGGAGTGTTGTTTTGTTGTTTAAATAAAATTTAAGCCACACCAACAGTATACATATTAACACAACTTACAAAAAAGGAAAAAATAAGAAAACATTGGACCTAATATGTACACCTATAACAGGTGTGTACAACATTTACAATATTGTGACAAAGTTTAATACACAAAAAAAAAACTAATTCAGAAAAAATTAAATACAAAGAATAGACTAACAAAAAAGAATCAAAAATAATTAAAAAAAAATTCTCTTTAACGAATACTATACTACAATATATACTAATGAAATGACTCGAGCACTTTATTTTTATAAACATCAGGGGAATCGTTAAAAATGTTCTGTTAATGTTCGGCTATTCTGATGTTGCACAAATGGGTAGCCCCGTCCGGGGACGTACCGCGGCTCCGCTGAAGAGCGGCGTCAAGTGGAAGTACACTTTCGCTTTTCGTCTTGTGAGTGAGGTAAACGGGGCACACTTTGATGTAATGGTTGGCAAAGCATCTTCAACCCAATGTTTGTAGAGTTTCATAATGCTTTAACGCCTGTCATCTGTGAATTTACTTACCTGTACAAACCTGCCCAATCGTCCAAACAGAATCCGGTCCGTAACGCCACCGTGGCTATGATTTATTTATGTCTGTCTAAAGTGGTTACCAGTCGCGGGAGAGTTTGCGTCCTATTTATACATCTTTGTGTTGTCTTTCCTGTGGGATGCATATGGCAACGTAGGTATTTTTATATCTAAATGAATATCTAAAGTTATGAATAATGTGTACCTATTCATGGTTCCATTGTTCGCAGCCGGTTCCTATTGAAACGATAAGTCATTAAAACCGTGATATTTTAGTATGAGTTTATTGAACAGCAACCGGTCTAGTAAAATAGTAAACCGAATCGGAGAAGAATATGCGAAAATTCTCTCACTCCCACATCCCCTAATCGACATCCCTTCGAAATCTCTACCGTTTCGCCGCCATAATTGCATCGACGCCATCGAAATGACTTGATAAAACAACTACGCCGCGCACCCGGCTACCTCTTTACTGCAACCCCGTCCACAGCCGCAAACCACAAGGCATAAAGCACCCCCGTATTGAGGGAATAAAGTTCAAATGAGCTTGCATCGACATGGGCGGAGAAACGCGCGTAACAAACAGTCGGAAGCCCGGAAAGGTCTTTAGTAAATGGACATGTGTCATAGCCACGTTGAAGTATGGGGCGATGCGGTGCGAGCAATTCTCGGCGCTACTCCCTTGCGGTAAAGGCTTATATCGCTCGCTAGCGAATCGGGGCGAGGTATCAAGATGTTATTGGCGAGGCGCCCTGTTTTTACGGCCGCTTAATCTTCGGGTCGCCGCGTAGTGACTGCGCGCGTTTCCACTGCGCGCGTACGTCACGTCGCTTGGTGGGGTTTTATTGAGCGATTTTGACGGATGACGACGTGCAATGTAAAGCTCGCGTTCACGCGTATTACGCGATCGCTTTACGAGCTTTTTACGGCGTGTCGTTTTTATTTTTTTCTAGGGTTTTCGCGTAAATGTCGAGATGTGCCAGAGGGGAATATATAAATGGAACATGTTTATTGTACCGACTATCACTTTTGCCTATTATTTTTTGAGTACGGTTTTATTGTCAATATTCATCATTTTATTTTTTCGAATATTTACCGGCTAGTACACGACTGTTATAACATTAGGTAATTAACAGCGTACACGTAATGGTAAATGGCACGTAATAACACGTTCGGTTGGTTATATTCGGTCGTGCATTAGGCACCGTTTCATTAACGTATCGAAAGAATTCGTATCAATTACATTAACTTAAAGCGCTCTAAATAAATAAATTCGCACGTGATATTATTGACTATACACACGTTACGAGAGGGAATACAGACTCAATGTTGACGTACAGACTCCTTATTTTATTTCATTAACTTGGTACAATGGGAACGCGCGCGCCCAGTGCGCGTGCGCGGCCACTGCGGCCCCCCAAGTGCCTCCCGACTGTTTGTCCGCGTACACTACACACGGGCTCGTAGAAAGCTTTCCGCTACCATAACGCCGCGACACACCGCACTCGAGGCTCTTTACTTTTCCGCGCACTGTACATTGTACATTTTATTATTATGTCTTCTACTTCGCATTGTCAACATCTTACGTTTTATTTTATTTATTTCAAACTACTTAACAACATGCCGTCTACCTTATGATATATGGTAACCAAACAGCAACTGCAAATGTATTTTTATTGACAAAAAACAAAGCCGACTTTAAATCAATACATATAATATAACCTCGCTCGTATGTTATCTATTTGATTTTAAGGAGTTCTTCTGATGTTTCTCTTCAATACCTACACAATAAAATTTATATGGAACCATATCGAAGCCCCTAGAACCTAAAGCAAACCCAATGTAAAGTAAATTTACAGCCTATATATGTTTCGCTTCTGGGCAAAGGTCCACCACGCGGCCGCACTGCGGATTGGCGGACTTCACATATCTTCGAAATATTTTTTCATCGAAATATTTTATTTCGAAAATATGCAGGTTTCCTCACGACGTTTCCCTTAACCGCTGAGCACGCGATAATTCAGCACTGAAAATTAACAATTTCATTGGTGCCGGCACCGGGGATCGAACTCAGGTTGCCCGAGTATATTTATTTAAAGGCGAGCGCCCGAACAATAAGCTATCATGGCACTAAACCCAATGCAAACAGAACTCTTAAACTAGGCTCATAAATGACGGGAGTTCTGAGGTTCTGACAGACATAAAAAGAAATACGACCGAATCGAGAAACGCTTCATTTTTCGAAGTCGGTAGAAACGATGGCCTTTTGAAAAAACCGCACCAGCGCTACCGGACGAAACGCTCCAGAGTAAATTACTTTTTACTCGCGCCGTTTTTCACAGAAGCCGTGGGCACTTTTCTGGTCGAGGTGGCTCAATTATGCAGACGCGAGAGCCGTTCGTGGCTTTGCTACGTGGCCACAGTAGAGTCAACCGGCGGGATAAAATCCCTCGAAATACAACTTCGCACTGCCCTTAAATTCGAGCGTTAATTACAAGGAAGGGTTATTTAACATTAAAACGTTATTTCAACCCCATAACGTCTTTATTTATTATATTACGTTGAGTCATGCTCTTATTTCTTTTCTCTGTAAATTTTCAACGCGGCTGAAGTGTTTTTGTTTTCACATTTTATGTTATATTACTGAAAAGTTTCAGTAGAAATCCGATACGATAGACGCCGCTCGAGTTCTTCGAATCCGTTCGAAGCTTACGAAGATTATCTTCACTTTTTATTTACGGCACAGTGATTATTAAACTTCTTTGAACAGTACTCTTGGGATTTTCTTTGTAATGTTTACACTATTTCGGTCCTTGGTAAACATTTAGTAATTACCGGTAATTGTTAACGAGTACATAGTCCTGAGTTGTTGGTTTACTTTTTAAATAATGTTATTTACATTGTTATCATTTTTAAGCTCCTCCACCCCGGTATAAAAGTTTGTCCGTTACATCAATCCGTTAAGTCAGTCTGTCACATCAAGTCCGAAGAGTGTTTATAGTCTTCATTAATAGATATCGATATATCTTCACGCTACTGTTAATAATATAAAAAACCCTTAGGAGCAACCGAGCATTACATCTTAAACACACACCTAAATCTAGAAAAATTGTATGTAGGTTATACATATCTACAAAATGTACTCGGGAATCAAATAAACGAGCCACCATTCTGTGCGAGACAAAATTTTCATAACGACATACCATTTAAATAACATATAGCCCATAATATACCTGCATGTTTTTCCCTTACTTTGAAACTCGAAAGCTACCCAAGAACCTATGTCTATCGTAGATACTAAAATATAACTTAATATCACTACATAGTATAAAATAAAGTCGTCCCGCTGTCTGTCCCTATGTATGCTTAGATCTTTAAAATTACGCAACGGATCGTGATGCGGTTTTATTTTTACAGAATAGAGTGAATCAAGAGGAAGGTTTATATGTATAATTACATTGACCCGTGCGAAGCCGAGGCGGGTCGCTAGTATTTACTAAACATTAATTTCTCTTACTAGTTATTTACAAAAAAATAAATTACGGCACGATAAAAGATATCGGTAGAGTAAAATTCAAATTAAAAATTCAAATATCTTTATTTGATATGGAAGCATTACACTTATTGATTGTCTAAAAACACTACAACCGGTTCGTAAAAAAAGCCACTGACCTGAGAAGAACCGGCGAAGATACAAAGGTTACTGGTAGTTAGTAGACGTGCCGGTGATATCGCTTCACAGGCTCCTGATGCACAAGAGCATTTTATCTATACTCTTCTTGTGACTCACGCCAGGTTTCTGAAACACTTATCAATTCTTTGAATTGACCATTCTGATCATTAAGAAGATCATTCCGGTCAATTCGGAGGGTTTAACCATCCTTTTGGCAACTAAAATGAAATGTGAAAAGCCATTTGACAGCTGATTAGTTGACATCTACGATGATCAGTGTTTCAGAAACCGGGCGTCAGTTTTGTAAATTACACTCTTTATATGACGCTTTTAAATTTGACCTTTAAGATAAAGAAAGAAAATGCAAGTAATTCAATGAAAATTAAAACTTAAATTACCCTTTCTCCTACAATTAGTATAATTAATGTTAATGATATTTATTTATGTCACGGTTTAGGTTTAGTTCTAATTAGAAGAGTTTAGAAGTACGAGGTAAACAATCGATAGTTTTAAAAACTCCAGTACATACATCTCTTTGACGGTGGTCGTTTAAGGATTTACGTGTACAGAAGAGAGGCCTTTGCCCAGCAGTGGGACATATATAGGCTGTAACTTTACTTACGGCTTTTCTTAAATGAATATACATAATTATGGACGATAAGCACCGATAGAGTGAACTGCTAAGATCATTCCAACAGCCCTAACGTGGCTCGCACGGTGCTATTCCGCGCGATGGTGCGGACATTAGGCGCCACGCAGCGGGCCCATAACGGGGGCCGCTCTCTCCTATAATAGCCCGGATAACGATCACGGCGCAGCCAGTGGAGGTAATTCCATTTGTCGTCCGCTCCGGGGACGTGTCGTCGTGCCCGCACCGCCTCGCTGGCCGCTAGGGCTGCCGCCAATTCGAAAACCTTTTTATTATTTCAACTAGCAACACGATGTTAAATTTTAACGGCTCAATTTTTTTTACTGCTAAATAATATTTGAGGGTGGTATCTGAATTAAGTTTTTAGAGAATACAATTATAATGAACGATGACGTATATGATGGCGGAATGGTTTCATTGTGAAGCGTTGAGAATTGTTGCAATCAAAATTAAACGCGATAATAATACAAAAAATCGTTTTATTTAAGAACATATAGGTACCTAGTATTTGCGTAAAAGCAAAAAATCATTAATTTTTGTTACGTTCCAACCATTTGAAATCGATCGATATAAAAATTATTTTTTTAAAGTACTCATCAATGTATTTAGCTTTCGACTTTTATACCTTGTAGTATCTATGATGTGTAGTTGATATGGATCTTGGATCAAGCAAATATGGTGTCGCAACCCTAGCTGGGGCGGTATTACGTGCCACTTCACACGTTGGAACGAATGTTTGTATATCGCCGAGTGGCGGGAACGCTACGTGGCTGAATGTTTACAATGCTGGGTCTATCCAATCGGACAGTAGATACGAATCTCGGCCGCGCAAATCAAAATGAGTACGTATTGTTCAGATCAGGGTACTCGTCTGCTTGCCATCGTAAAAACATTATACGGTATTGTATTGTCTCGGTTCTAAATAAGGGTTTTGTAATTGTGAAATTGTAAAAAGGGGTGGTGTTAAAAAATACAATCTAAATATTTTCATAGTATAGCAGAAAATAAACCAAGGTCAATCTTATTATTTTTACCGGAGTCGCCAACAACAAAGCGTCTATATTCGAAAAAAAAAAAACGTAATTTATAGAAATAATAACGGTGACGGTACAGCGATTTTATAGAAATAATCATACACGAAAAATAAAAGACTATTATTGGCCATGACAAAACTGAAAACTCAGAATTCAAAATTCGAAATATCTTTATTCAAATAGACGCTTGGGCGTTCGTATGAGACGTCGAATTCTACATAAAAATTAATATATAAGTTCGCAAGGCGGAAAACATTCGAAAGCGAAATAAACTCTCTCCTCGGCATGATGATCGCGGCTATTAGTCCGAAGCGAAGACGTCATCAGATAAAGACGTCGACGGTGCGTCAATTAGCCGCAACCTTACTACAGGGGCAGCATAAGAAAGTGCCTCTCGTCGCCCCGGCACCAGCCGCTAAGTCGGCAGGCGCGCCGGGGCGCCGCGATTAGTGCTAGGGCCCTCGCTCTAATGCGATACGCTACGCCCCGCCGATACTGAGGTAGAGTTGCGCGCTACCAGAGGCGGCCGATCGCTCGCTATTGAGGAAAACGGACGACCTCGTATATCGAAATGGCGTCGTTTGCGACAAGATTGATGATGAATGTATTGAGATATTCATAATTTATGTAGTAGCTAACACATACTATTTCTTCTTTGTTTCTTTATCCTTAATATTTTTGCTACGGATTTATATTAAACAGTTCTCGGTCAGTGATAGTTCAAATTCAGTGGATGGTTGTCTATTATTGCAATTAAGTTAAAATGTTTAGGTCAAATAATGAAAAAACTCATGTCGATTAAAGAAATTTTGCAACATAAATTTTCCAAGCTTTGTACGTATAATTTAATTGTAACGATTTTCATCGAAAGCTACGTGATGCTAACACGCTAACTAACAATTTTTTTCTGTATTGTTGTTTCAGGTAAGATTTAGCTCCTGTTTCTAAATGGCAGATGTAAGTCGGCTACTAATTTGTAATTGAATAATAATACCAGTACTAACTTAGATGGAAATCTTGCACAAATTGAATTGCATCACGCACTGCGATTAGCCAATGTAAAAACTGGCAACACGGACACTATCGCGGTAAGTTGTAAACGCTAGCGAGTACATGTAATTGTCATGCGTTAATTATCAAGGACGAGTGACGCCGCGCGTGAAAACTAGTATCGCCACTAAAGTCGGGCTCGCTCTGGCGGTTCGTCGGTCTGTGGGGCGCGCTGTGCGCAGGCGCCCACCGCAGTGGCTACACGGCTACCGGTGGCGTATTTGTCGCCGCACAATGGGGCGTACAGTGCGCGACACAAGTTCCCCTCCGGCCCGGACGCCCCGCACGGTGTACTGTAATGCTTTAGACTTGGCTTTGGAAACTTTGACACGATGGATACATTGATACTTTAATAGAGATGAACCTTAATAAGATACCGCGGTATGGACATCCCCGCGGCGTTTGACTTAATGTGACTGATATAGAACGTATGATACGGAAAATCTGGAATTTCAATCTAATTATACCAATTGGCATAATTTGAGTGTCTCAACTTCATAACTACATACTTCATAACGTCATAACTACTTTGTATTTAATTATAAAATATCATTGGATAAATACGATTATGAGATGCCGAAGCGATAAAATTGACGTCACGTCAGATATTGTTAAATAAGTGATTTAAAATATAAGTGTCAAGAACGTACAATCACATTAACAAAAATACACTTTCTCGTTCTGACCTCAATCGATGATTCTATTTGTTCGACACTTATTTCAGGACGTCGTAATTTAAACGTCGACAAGTTATCACTTTTCGTACGTGTTCGAACGAAGAGCAAATTTGATTGTGATTTTGGCACATAAATAGTTGTGGGAAGAGGCTGTCTCGCCTACCGTACGCACGTACAGTGACGCGGAACGGGGGGCGCGGCACTTCTCTTCGCTCCTACGGGTGTAATGTTAAATGGGCACGACGATAGGGATGGGACACGACGACGTCGATGGAATAAAGATCGATTATTTTGGTTACCCGACTCTGGAATGAGTCGCGACTACTAATTGCCTATTTTGTGGCGACACTCCCCATATCGAAGTGATGTTCCCGTTGAATAAAATAATCAGTAACATTATAAAGATTTACCACTTTACCCGTGCGCAAATTTCGCACAGTACCGTGTTCAGTTACCGAATGATTGTATGATTATGTGTAATATAATGTGTGTATAATTATGTATTTATTAATAAAACGTCTTTTACGCTATCTTCCATATAAACAAATTGCCAACACGTGGCATTATCATACATTCTTTATAATCTATTAACGAAAATTTAAACTTTATTATACTTGTTTAATTGATCTGAATCATTAAAATTGACGAAGTATTATGGATCATGGCGTACAGATATGATGTAAATGAAATAAAAAAAAATGAAAAAATCATAGAGATGCTATATCCGCAATAAGCGACAGTTTAGGTTACATCACTACATAGTATAAAACAAAGTCGTTCCGCTGTGTCTGTCCCTATGTATACTTATCTTTAAAACTACGCAACGGATCTGGATGCTGTTTTTTTTACTAGATAGAGTGATTCAAGAGAAAGGTTGGTGGTGGAGGAGGTGGGTTGCTAGTAAAAACTACTACTAATAAAAACCCAATCCAACCTCCTTCGATACGCGTTGTACGACGTCGATGTTTCGCTCGCCGCGTCGAGCACGCCCCTAGTGGGGCAAGCAACAGCCGGTGGGACCTCGGCGGACGGTGGTCGGACTAGCGTCAGGTGCTTTGGGTGTGCGGTCGGTTCAACGCACCGGAACATTCTTCCGGATCGCGGGGCGGGGGAGAGGGAGGGGCAGGGGGGGGGGGGGGGGAAGTGCCATAAGGTGCGGCTCTGGCGGCTCTTTGGACGAGTCGACGATACGCAACACCGTAACTGGACCTACGCGAGCGTGCAATCATTTTTAAAACGGTTATAAGGAATAATGTAATATTTAAAAATAGAACTGTAGTCTCGAAAATTAGAAACATTCACTATAAGACGATCACGAATTATGCAGATGCTATCACAATAGCTTTTGGATTTTGGTGCAGACACCGGGTCTCGGACTCAGATTTGTCGAGTATATATATATAAGCTATCAAACTAAGGAGCAATCAACTACTCAAAACCAAATCGCTTAAAAACTTCTACTATCACACTTTAGATTTAAAATTAAATGCGCCTCGTTTCTTACTGATTTTTATTACATCCGCTATATTATTATCGACAGCGCATCGGCGCATCACTATGCACGTCACGTCGCCATCTGCGACTGGGAAGGTTCGTTTTCACGTGGCCCTAATAGAGGTGAGAATATAGCGGGCTTACGCGGGCTTACGCGGCTTTCCCTAGCGTTCACACCTCCTCCCTATCCGCCTTCCCCTGTGTCTTACCCGTCATCGGCCTATTTTTAAACCCATTTACGATGTATGCGGGAATCGGTGGCTTGGAGGAAATAGTTCGGTTTCCAAGTTAACGCCCGCATGTTGAGGTCATGCGTATAATGAATTAAATACGTACGTATAAATACGGCCCGTAGAGAATTGTGCCAGTCTGTAATTTGTGTGTGTAAACGTTGTTACGACGTGGGAGAATCGTTAAAATTTTTGGACAAATTTTGCTTTTTATCGGAAAGTGTAGGCGCATTTACAGAATTATATTGTAGCTTTCAATCTCACATAATGCTTTCGCATGAGGTCGTATTCTACCTCGCATGTTCGCTAAACTTTCGCCCTTTCCAAATCAATACATCAACAAAATCATTTTGTTTAACATCTACATTTTCAAAGTAAATGGCGATGTGGACGAGGTCGTTCTATGCGGATCAACAACCCGTGTGCGGTTTAAAGATGGCAGAAAATGTGATCACGACCTCCGATTGCGCATTGTAGGTTACATTGTAGCAGGGTGACACAATCGGATCGACGCCAATAGTTCAAAATTCGGATTCGATACGGATAATTACTTCAGAATTCGAGTCCTACTCATGTGTTTCAAGGGCGGACTATCCCAAATGTTTGTCAGTTAAAATCCCCCGTGTGATCGTTTGTTTTACAACCGACTTCCAAAAAGGAGGGGTTCTCAATTCGGTTTGTTTTATGTTTATTACTATTATTAATCGATTTTCAGATTTTTTTTTGCATTCTGTTCGGTTCAGCTCCAGTGTGGTCCCATATTAATTTCGTACATATTGGACCTTAGACTTTGGAGATATATCAGGTAAAAACAAATTGAAATTTTATTGTGAGTAAGATATTTAAAGTCGCATTTATATTTTGTTACTATAAATGTTCCATTTGTTAAATAACATGATTGATTTCGCTGAATTTTGATTAATGTAATTGTTATAACGGGCCGGTTTTTAGGTCGTAGTTATGAATTTCATATATTTCATATATTTCATATATGAAAGCTTTTCGAACAGACTCCAATTCGTTTAAGTAAAAACGTTTCATTCCAATAAAGCAAATATTGCGTAGGTATCGAGTTCTGTTGACTCGTTTAATGCCTCTAATCAGACAGTCTGAGCACTCGGGTGTGTGGGAGTGAAATTGAAGAATTATACGCCGACTTGACTAAAGCGAGGTCTACGTCTCGAATGTATGTAACATTTCCAATTTACTATGGAATACAAAAGGAAGTTAACCATTGTATTTAGAAATAATAATAGTGCTAATATTATATTTGTTAAAAAAATATTGCTGCCATAGTTAAGTAGATGCACTGAACACATTTTAGTCAATGCTTTTTATCATTGTGAAGTTGAACTGTCACTTAATTTCATTACTTTAAACTTCAAAAGACGTATCGAGAATTTAACTGAAGCAGACAACGCGGAGCGAAGCGGAATCTCAAAGAGAATTAACTTTTGTAGCACTGTACACGCCTACGTAGCTGCACGTAGAGGCTCCTCTGGAGCTTTCGAAGCCATTTGCACGTAGAGCCCCGCCGCTGGGGACGAAATCTCGTTTTTATTAGGGAAGCAATGTGGAAAGAGTGGAAATGACACTGCACCGCGCACTTCCGACCCCTGCACGCTTTGTACAGGTGTCTGCGGCCGGCCCCCAGGCGAATATCGACCTTCCGCCCTACCGCAATACGCGTCAGATTCGAAGTCTTCGTTGCGGGAGGCTTTGCGCACGCGCCAGACGTCAGACGCTTGTTTGAGCCGGCTCAGTCGACGATCGCGTCCCGCGGCGCACAGACGGCCGTCGTGCGCGATCTCGCCTCTCGAATTAAAACTGATGTGCAACCGCGCCACGGAGACATCGGTGCTCTGTTCCGATTCGTGTTGACGTTTGCCGCGTTGTGTGCGCGCGTGTTTGTTGTGTTGCATCGAGGTGGAGTGATCAGCGTTCCGTATACATCGCTCGTGTCGCCCGCAAATGTGTTGGTTAGGCTTGAAACGCCGTGGGCTCGTGACTTGGGGCGGAGCGCGTCGAGTGCTACAACTGTTTATGTTTTAATGATGGCGGTATTAGCGGCAGGCGGCCGTCGCCCCTCGCTCCGCTTGTTTACCACGTACCATACGCCTTCGCGTCCGTAGACTGTGTGTCGGGGCTTTGGTATTGCGCGTCTGGGACGCTCTATTGTATATATGGGCCGGAGTGAATGAAACGAAAGGCCCTCTCTCATATTTAATCTCTCTCTAATTCATTGTTTCGAGTGTCGATGATTGATACGATCTTCGTTCAAAGGAAGTAGAAAGGCAGAGATTTATCTTGATCGTTAATCGTTTTTGACTTTCACTATTTAGATCGGACAATAGCCACTTTAAATGTTAACTTTCTTATGTTTGTTTTGTTGAATGAATCAACAGTAATAATAAAAAATAATATAAACTGTGAAAAGACACTACGTCTGACAGTATAATTATTGCGTATATTAATTTAAAAACAACCCCAAATCTCTTAAGCTAAAATGAGTACTGGCGCAACACATAAACGAGGGATACACGTATGATATAAAAACGAAAGACGATGACGCATTCCATTGGGATTCAAACCTCTGAGCAGCAGTCGACGTAACTAGGCGCTAAGTCACTACCGTTTCTAACAATAAACGTACGTACAAGAAATAGTATTGTAAAAATACTTGTCTCTGTAACTAAACCAACGGGACTTTTTGCGTCTAAAGGCCCATTTACACGATGCCATTTTCTTGTACATACAAGAGCAATAATTGAATGCAATAAATTGCGCGCAATAATTGTTAAGACCATTTGTTGTTTAGACCATGCAACTCTTTTATTGCTTCAAGTTAATTGTATACAACAGGCAAGAAACTGGCACCGTGTAAATGGGCCTTAAGAAAGTAAATCCTTAATGCGCATGAGTAGAATTCTAACCAGCAATCATAGACAGCATAACTTGGCTACTTAGGCACTTGAAAACCACTTACTTGTGTAAAAAACGGTCAAGTGCAAGTCGGACTCGCGCACGAAGTGTTCCGTACTATTATCTACAAACACAGCAAAAAAAGTCATGTCTGTTGTATGGATGGCCCCGCTTAAATATTTTTTATCCTGTTTTTAGTATTTGTTGTTATAGTGAGAGCAGAAATAAATCATCTGTTAAAATTTCAACTATCTAACTATCGCGGTTCATGAGATACAGCCTGGGGACAGACGGACAGATAGACAGCGGAGTCTTAGTAATAGGGTTCCGTTTCACCCTTTGGGTGCGTGCGTAGCCCTAAAATTAACAAACTCTATTTTATTAATTGCGATTGATAAATTGTTTTGCGAATGTTGAAAAGTCGAACGGAGTGGCTGCACCGCTTAAGTATCTCGGCGCGGTATAATGAACGCTGGGAGTTTCGTAATGATAATAATAGAACTCGAAACGGAAACCGTCGCTGTGCCAATTAGCATTTAACGAGCCTCGTGTTAAGCGCTTTCGGGTGGATATGACGTCACGCCTTCCCTCCTACTCTCAAGGTCAACTGTCACCGAGCTTTGGGCGCCGATTTCTGATAGTCTTGTGACAGTAAGCAAGTAACTTCGTCTTTTCAACCGACTTCAAAAAAGGAGGATAGTTTTTTTTTTTAAATGTTTGTTATTACCTTAGAACTGTCGTCTGAGTGTACCGATTTTGATGATTCTCCTTTTATTTGAAAGCCGGTGCTTCCCATGTGGTCCCATAGTAATTTCATTGGTGTTGGATCTTGGCCGCCGGAGATAGGTACTTAGGAAACTCCTGAAAATTAATTATAAAAATCAAATATAAACGGAGCGAGATATTTGAAGTTGGTTTTGTTCGTCGTTAATAAAAAAAATGGACTTGTTTAAGTAAGAGGATGGCAAGCGAGCTGGCGGTTAAGTCGTTAAGTGATAACCGTTGCCCATAGACATTAGCAAATCCGTTGGGTTGCAGATGTGTTGTTATCACCTCAATCGCCGGTCGAATCGCAAAAGTGTAACACTTCAACTTCTACTTGCCCATTCGTGCCACAGTTGTCTACGAAAAGCCTGTTCCATTACTAGTTTGTTATTTGTTATGTAAAAATAATGTCGAGCTCTCAATGTCACGTAGCTTATAGAGAGATTAAATGAGTTGAAGCCGCCAAGAAAAGGGTGACGGGTTGCGGTGTGCTTTATATTATCGGAGCACATCTGATAAATACCAAACATTTCAATACCTTTTCGGTAGTTGTTAACAACCTTAAACAACATTTTTCGAGCTTACAAAAATGATCACCTATTTGTATTCCTCTTTTGTGTCCGTTTAACGGTGCCTTTACAATGGGCAAAGATAGAAAAGATAATCAGGTTGTTAAAATGCCAGAAATGTTGTGCCAGTACCATTCCTCAATCCTTTATCTGTATATCGCTTTTTATAAATTTCATTAGTTTTGTTCTTTGTACTAAAACAATATGTTAAACCATATTTTGCATTATCTCGTTAATTTGCAGACCGTACCATGCTCGGCTTAAGGGGAGCGTTAAGAGTTTTCCATACCTTAGTTATATAATTTAATTGGGATACGCATCGGTCTGTTTGTCTTGTGTCGCGATATCGGAATAGACGGGCGAGTCCAATTAAGAATGGAAACACATGACAGACGAATCGCTCGGAGTTCGCAACGCGGCCAAAATAAACACGTCACTATTTACACTCTGCTGAATGTTTGATTGCTTCGCGCCACCACTCCCGCGGGATTCGTTTACGGGAATAACACTCCGCAAACAAGTGCACGCGCACACGTGCGCAGCGTGAACACGAATACACAATACGTTAGTTCCATGTAACTCTGGAAGCCGAAATAAAGTACAAGATAAAGGTAAAATAGATCACGTAAAAAATCCAGAAATAACGATTTGCGACAGAGTCAAGCGCGTACGCCGTAGAACAAGATACCTCTGGGTTTTGACCCCAGCAGTGATGTCATTGACAATGGAGATTGACGAACTAATTCTAAGTATTTCTAAAAGAAATTGGCTCTGGCTTTAATCATAACAAATCAAGTAAAAATAAAAAAATCATACCAGATGAAATGGAAATAGTAAAACGTAATATCACTACATAGTATAAAATTAAGTCGTCCCTCTGTCGGTCTGTCCCTATGTATGCTTAGACCTTTAAAACCACGCAACGGATCTTGATGCGGTTTTTTTTACTAGATAGAGTGATTCAAGAGGAAGGTTTATACATATAATACATTAGACCCGTCTATACAGACACTAGTCTATACAGATAAATAAAAATGGAGTGTCTGTTTATAATATTAAAATAACAGCTTTTTATCACATACATATGAATGTATACACGGTACTTATACCAAAATAACATTTTTTACAATTTTTGTCTGTCTGTCTGTTTGTTCCGGTTAATCTCTGAAACGACTGGACCGATTTTGACGAAACTTTCACTAGCAGATAGCTGATGTCATAAGGAGTAACTTAGGCTACTTTTATTTTTAAAAAATTATTTATTTTAAATTACACGCGGACGTAGTCGCGGGGCACAACTAGTTATTAATATAATTATGCTTTATCTTAGTCAATATTCCGCGAGCACGTCGTATTCCCTCCAAACATTTGTCACGCAGTACACGCAGCGAATAGTTCTGCTACACCGTGAAACTATGTGATCTCACAGTTCTACTAGCGACAAGGGAAATATATAGCAATATGTGATATCTCGACATTTTATATTCTTGACGTTTGGTCATCCCCTATGAGTCGAGTTGGGGGCGCGTAATTGCCTAAATCGGGGAGCGGCAGCCGCAGACCGCCCCAACCCGTTGACCCGAGCACCGGCCGGTGGTCCCGCGGGAGGGAACTATGAGTACCCATTTACGGGACAGCATTGATATGCACATTAAATAAATATTCTTCTTTCTTTTTTTTTTGTGTGAGGAAGTGGCAAACGAGCTTGCGGTTCACCTGATGTTAAGTGATAACCGACGCCCACGGATATTTGCAACATCGGTTGCTGATGTGTTACCACTTGTTATTTTTTTTAATTCGAAAAGTTGACAAGCTGAGCAGAGGGTCCACCTCATGTTAATTGAATACCGCCGCCCATAGACGTCTGCTACACCCGAGGGTTACAGATGCGTTGACAACCTTTTGAAAATTGGGCTCCGTCTACTTCACTCACCAGTCACTTCCACTTTACGGCAGTCTTCTCTGAGGCCGTGGTACTAAACCGAATTGACCTGCCCATTCGTGCAACAGCGAATACTACCACAGTTGTATTTTTAAGTCGAGATTGCAGTTTGTGTCCGTAGACTATAATTATAAGAGCTTCATCGGGTACGGATCTCGACTACTAGACTTCCCGTCTAGGTCTTTATGAGCTTGATGTACCTTATCTGGGCAAATTCGCGCACTGACTAATCTCTTGTCTCCATTTATCGACTCTATGATCTAAAGTTTTGGAGCCCCATCGTCGTGATGCGCAGGGATCGCTGCGATACATTAATAGATGGTTTACGGCTGCTGAGTCAATACTTATCGTTCTCTATATCCCGATAGGGTTAAGAAGCATGAGAGTTAATAATAAGTGAGAGCAAATAGGTTTTTAGTGCTCACGATACAGGCGTCGCCTAGTGTGAGCGCCGCAGGTAATGTACGGTTTTCGAAAATGTTTCAACAGGATTATAATTCTAAGTTTCTAGGTATTTTGTACATCATATGTTCAAGCGGGTTAAATAAATTATTTTATTTTGGTGAAGTCGTTCCGTCGTTGATCGTTACCATAAGAACGCCGTTCAGTTTCTTTGTTTTTAATAAAAAAGATCATACTATATAGATTGTAATAATATTAGATTGTTGTCATCTCGAGTGAGGAGATTTGTATCGCTCGGGATGATTTGGTTGACGCGAGTGAGCGCTCTTCCTAACTCGCTGGACGCCTCGAACATGTCACTGGCTGTTTCGTTGTACATACGTCGGGAATACAGACCGATTGAGCACCTTTGTTCTTTCATAGCATCCGGGCTATAAGGCGGCGTCACAACACAACCGTTCTAAGATATCTATATCTTAATTAATTGTTATATCTCTTAATTTTTTTGCTATGTTGTGTAAGTTGAGCAAATTGAAGAGCCTGTAAAGTTGAAACTTTGAGCTTTAATATGAATATAAAAATATGTCCATTCAGAACCGGGGCTGAGAAACAATCCATTTTTATCTATGTTTATGTATTCTATATTCTATCGCTGCTTATTTTGCCATAACGTTTTAAATTCAAAACAAATGCATTTATTTTAAACGTGGCGAACGAAACTAAATGTGACACAAAATAATAGGTCGTTAATTCGATTTATTTTATTTCATTTGTCTCAATTTTGATTTATTTGTGCGTTTAAACATAATACGAGTGTTGGAAAAAGCCTTTATCCAGGGCGTCGGCAACAATGATGATATAATAAATGTTCGTATGCCTGCTTCGTTTCCTGCTACCACTCAGCTATTGCGCACAGCTGTGGTGGAAGCGCAGCCTACGATAAGCGGCGGTGGCCCAATTTTTTATCGCTCGATTTACACGAGCCGCGATAACATCGCTGTAAAATCCTCCTCTTCTAGGGAGTCTGCCCCACTCACGTTTAATAACTATAGTATTTATAATATAAAACTTAATAACTATAGTCATTTGAAGTAGAAGTCGCCTAAAGTTCTAACCGTAATAAATATACAGAAAGCTGAATAAGAGATGTAAGGTTTTGAGACGCACTTTCATCTGTTATTATTTTATGAGCCAAAAATACATAAGCACTAAGATTTGAATTTTACGACTTTTTATGTCATGATTCAGCCACCGCGGTAGCTTACACTAACTCACGAACCACCGCGCTTGGTGTTTTTTTTTTTAATGTCAAACTTGTTGCACCGCAAAGAACGATGGAATGGGAGCGAATGGAGGGTAGTGAGAGGAAGGGCATTACGTCGCTCGTCACTCGCGTATTTGTACGAGGACGCGGGAAAAGCCGGCCCATGGTGGTTCTTAATCTGTGCGCCGGCTTGCAGCCGCTGTCAGTTGTGTCGACGGAGGGGAGTGGATTGGGGAAGGGAGGGGCGGTGTAATGTACCCGTTCGCCGCTAGGGTTGCCAATTCAAACGAGTGTTTTTGTTTTCCTTGCCATTTTCCTTAATGATACTCGGTTATCTGGATTATATGGAGACGCTGATTGATTATTAACGAATTTTCTTAGGTGTCGAAAGTAATGATAAATACCTATATTACACTAGCTGTTCTATGCGATTTCATACGTTTCTGCATCGCCCCCATAGGTCGTAGCGTGATGTCAAATGGTCTATAACCGTCCCCAAGAACTGGGCTATGAAATGAAGGAAAAATTATTTCAGACCGGTAGTACAGAGAATAGCGCGTTCAAACAAACATCTCCGAAACGGCGGTTGCATTTCGAATTTGGCGAAGGTTACAGTGGTCTAGTTTGATATTAACTTCGCGCGGCAGCCCTGGCTCGGCTGGAGCCACTCGCGGAGGTGCTACGGAATCCCTAAAAGCCATTAACGCGCGGCGATGGACCGCTTCGGATCGGCTTACTGACGGACGGACGGACGGGCCGTTGCCCATTTAACGGGCCGTTGCGGCCGCCCTTTCTTTCTTTCCTTCCGACCCCCCTCCCCTTCGCGCCGCAGCCGCTCACCCCCCTGCGCCCCCGCGCGGCGCCCATCTGGTCGCCGTGACGCGTCCAATTACGTAGGTAATCGATGATGGTTGGCTGTTGCGATGTTTTCTTGATTGTTTTTTTTTTCTTACATTTCGCGTTCGCCTTTCCTCCACGCGCCGCTCGCCTTTCGGCCGCCTATCGACTCGGTTATTACGGGTTTTTCACTCCCGTGCTATATTGGCCATTGTCGGGTATAGAGAAACGATTTTTCCTTAGTTTCTTTCTTCGACTTTGTTTGTTTCTCAATTTGACTGAATTTTTTTACGTTTGTTACCTCAGAAATATCGAGTGTGTGTACCGATTTTGATGAGTCTTTATTTATTTGAAAGCTGGCGCTTACCAATTATTGGATCTTGACTCCCGAGATACGTAGGGAACTCCTGAAAATCAATTATAAAATGAGTACGTACGAGAGCGTACTTATTTGAAGTCGGTTTTGTTTTTCGTTAGTAAAAAAAATATAATTATTATTTGTTTCGTTTGTTTTTAAATATCCGCGCGTCTATTCCGTCACTGTTATCACGGATAGGCGTAGAAGCTGTTACGAATCGTTACGCGTTTTATGCTTTGACTCGCTTTTAATCGCGCGCCCCCCCCCCCCCCCCCCCCTCTCAGTGTGCGCCGTACTGTTTGTGTTTCACAGCACACCGCTTCAGTGGCGGGCTTCTCTGTTTGAGATCATGATGTCATATTAGACTCCCGCGTCATCCGGTCGCGCTTTTTAATATCATGCAAACGTCTGTGTGTAGATATATGTATTAGTGACTCTCAGAGCGCGTATCTCGGTTCTCTGTCTCGCCTACCGATTGGTTTTTAACGTCCTCATATGTTAAGTGGACCCTATCAGAAGGAGACTCTGTATGTTCGCCAATCCAATTAAGAAAAAATGTGCAAGCTTATGTCGTTCCGCTTGCATTTTGGAACAAGATTTACACAGCTGCCTGCAAAATGACGTCTCAATTTGCTTTCACTTAATGTTGGTGATTTCCGTCAAGCGTTAAGATTTCAGTCAGAAATGTTATTATCAGTTTCATAGTTTAAAATTTAATGAATCGTAAACGAGGACCAAATTGCATATAGTTATTTTGTGATTATTAACAAGAAACATTTGTGAAATTTGCCCAAGCCCTCTTCACCCCCCCCCCCCCCCCCCCCCCCCCGGCCGAATGTCAACTATCCGAGGATAATAACTTAATTAAGGACTTAATTAAGGATCGCACCGAGTGAATCCGAAACCCCTTTGCACTGTTTCGCGTTATGTAACGCCGACCTAGTGATAGCGTAGGGCGCAAGTCAGCCGAGATGGCGGATCTACGCTGGGATATCGAATCCGCAATGCTCTAGCGACTGTTTTTCGAGAGTTCTCATTTTTCAGTAATCATCGTCGCCCTTGAATGTTTGTCGCCTTGCCTACTTTGCAGGTTCATCCTGCCCCCTCCCATTTCCCCTGGAATCTACATTACAGGTCCAAAATGCGCTCAGTTTCTAGAACAGGAGCTAGCAGCTGACTGCATTATGATTTAGAATTCCGTAAACGACTGACTGTCAGTGGTATTAGAGTACAGAAACGATAGAAACAATTTAAGGACGTCAAACAGTGCTTAAAAGTATAATAAAAAACCAAGTAGTCGTTATTAAGATAAGCCGTTTGTCTCAGTGACTCCAGCGTCGGGCGCGTTTATCGGAGAACGTAGGTTCAAATCCTCAGAGCGGCTAAAGTTTTCTTCCATTTTTCTATAAATTTTTAAACTTAAGACAGATAAAGGATGGATCGCATTTTTCAGACGTAACCGTTGACTGTTGAAATTATTCTATCTCGGTATTTGCACTACCTAATTCTTGATATGGCTACTTTACTAGAATAAATTTCTTAACCGGTGGTAGAATAGATCAGGACCCTTATGAGATCACAAACAGACCTTAATTGACTGGAGACAAGTTGAAAGCTACCTTCGCGACGACCCTTCTCCACTCTGTCACAACTGCGGAAACTTCTCAATTGAACACTACAATTATAAATGTCGATCGAAGCGACATCTCAAATTGTCAGCGGTGATCAATTAACGAAGTGTTGCCCCGCTAGCAATTCGCCCTGGACGCGTAGCCGTAGCGATGTCTTAATTATTTATGACCCGTCGCGTGGAACGCGTCGGTAGGCAGGAGAGCTCATAGCCAGGCCCACGCCGCCTCTAAATCAACGGCATCGAGACAGGCATCTCGATATCGAGACAATAGATACGTTTCGCTTCGTCGATAACGCGCCGTCGTACCTCACTAATGTCTGCACAATCGCCATTATCAACGGATACTTTACCTTAATCGAATTATGTTTCCTTTTCTAACCATTACGACGTTTGTTACTCATCCCGAGTAACAAACGTTATTCAATCTGATGCACTGATCCTAGAGGTGCTACATTGTGTTTTAACGAAAACATAGCGAAGAAATAATATTATAATTTGGTGTAAACAGGATTAATGCCACTCAACAAACATAATAATCATTATAAGGCTCATTTATCCTTTATAAACTTTTCGGTGACGGAACCATACGCCTTGAGTGGGGTCTGTAGCTAGTCGTTCTCGACTTTCGTTCGACAACACAGGACACAACAAAGACACTCGCGCGCACTAATGAGAAAAAATGAACGCTACCCCGACGCGAGTGCTTCGCCGGTGGACGATAGTGTTGTGCGTCGCGATGTTGTCGACGGAGTGCCGTGCGCCGTTTATGTCGATATCGATGTCGATGCTTGTGTGTGAATAGTGCGATGGATTATCGATCACCGCACCCGCTGATGAGCGTCGGGGCGCCTTACTTCCCCCAGCCAGGTATGTACTGCGTATTATGAAAGCTACGAGGTTTTTTTTTATGATGACGGCCGCCCATCGACATTTGCATCACAGCTTTTAATACACTTTTAGTAAATTGGGTTACCGTTTCCGCGCTCACCACACGGAACGCACATGTATTTATAAACTCTTCCACTTCACGCCGGTCTTCTGTGAGGTTGTAGTTATTCTACGGACGGACCTGCCCTGCGAAGTTGATATTATGCAGCGATGCAGTTGTGGGTTGCAGTGTGTGACTGAGATTTTAGCATTTTGTCGATTGAAATCTTTGTGCTTATTCTGTTATCTGTACGATATCGTATAATACGCTTTCTGCTACAGTCTACTCTGTGCAAGTATATGCAGCTTCAATCCCGATTTCTTGCGGAGATTTTCAATATTTCTTATTATAAATAAGATACATCCGCTCTGCATGCCGACCTCGCGTTGATAATAAGCATAAAGTAATGTGTATTATTAATTAGTATATGTAAAGCATTATGAGTATGTATAAATATTAATATATTTTATTTGAATTTATTATACCCATTTTACATGGTGTGCAAAAATAGTACGTTTGTTAAGCATGTGTACTGACGACTTTTTTGTCTTTAGTATATATGCTTAAAGGTCTGAATTATAATAATAATATTAGAATATAAAAGTACCTTAGAGTGAAAGTATATAATAAAATACAAAATATGCCAATTAATAGATATGTTATTGTAAAAAATAAATAAAAAAACATAACAACTGTATAATGTGATATAGTACAACAGAACTAAAATAAAAATAGCAATTTGGCAAAAATCGAACGTTATAATATTAATTCAATAAATCAATTCGGACAAAGGGAAATACATTATTTGCTATAAAAAAAATCGTTTATACGATAATAATATTTTGATGTCCACTTTCGTAGCGATGTCGTAGTAGGAAGCGGTCGAGGGCGCCCAATCGTAAAAGTCAAAACGGGTCCCCCCCTCAGATGGCTAGCGGAACCGCCGACGCCGCTCAACTCGGCAAATCTGTCGAAAACGGCCACTTGGCCCTCGGGAGCTTTGTGGACGGAGCTCCTCGAGAAGTTTTCCTTTGACGTGAGTCGTTACAATCCACAAGAGCGATTGGTTTTTATTGTGTCTCATCAATTCCGACATCTAGTTCCTTAAGAAGCATTTAGAAATATATTCTAATTGTTATTGACTAAATATATAGTCCGGGTACTCATTCAAATTAAATAACGGTAGCTATGGACGATATATTAACCGTTATTAAATTTTAATGGTTCTTTTTTCATTCGTTTTAATTTCAGACAGTTAAAACGTTCACAAGTTTTTTGCTATATTATTATTGGTATAACCATAGTCATATTTCAGCCAACTTACACTAAACATGTATGTAGTATAAACCTAAATCTTACCCCATGAATCGATCCGTCTATTGAAAACTGAAAAAGCTGAAAAAAAGTAAAGCATCGTCCTATATAAATTCCACGGGAGGATTTCAAGTGTCTTCGAAATTGTTTTTTGTTATTATTTCGTAAATATGCAGGTTTCCTCCCGATGTTTTCCTTCATCATATGATTAGTCTACACTTAAAATTGAAGCGAGCAATTTCATTGCTGCCGGTACCGGGATTTGAACGCAGGTTGCTCGAGTATGATGAATTAAAAGCAAGCGCACCGACACTGAGCTATCAAGCTCTTTTTATCTCGGATTTTTGAAAACCGCATGGAAATCCGTCTAGTATTTTTCGAGTTTATCGCGTTCAGACAGACATAGGAGGCTCTTAATTTTGTTTTATAATATGCATTGATTATATTTTGTAACGTTGAAATGAATTGCAGTAGACACAGAGTGATTAATAAACGTTATTGATGAGCACAGTACACAAATTTACTCATTAGAAATTGGATCTTGGCAACAAAAGATCAAATATCTAATTTATCTAGCTAAACCCATTTGCATGGAGATGTTCGCGATGTCACAGATGTGCGCGTTAAGCAAAGGAAAACTATATTTATCTAAATGTAGACTATTTATAATTTGTTGCCGCATTGAAATCGGTCCATGTGAAATTTTCGGCTCGACCATTGTTATGTTAATCGAAAATGCGAAACGGACGATATGATTTGTGAATAATTGATGTCGATTAAGCGAAATCGAACCAATTGTTCATGTGAGTGTTCAACTGTATGTGTGTGTTTCTTTCAAATTTACCAAAGGGACGATCAGAATTGTTTTAACCAGAATACCAGTAAAACAAGTAAACTTTTCGCTTATATTGGTCGGATCTAATATAAAAATCGGCATAGATTGGAGAAATAAATAGTCGGAAAATTTGACGGAAAACTAAACATTGAGTGACTTTTGACGATAAATAACTTTGACCACTTATGGTTCTAAACTCCTACATGATGGTTGGACGTTGACGTCGGTAAATGCGTTAGCGCAGCAAAAGAAAAGTTTTTCTTTTTTAAATGCATAAATTCACTTCTTAGAACTGTTATAATTGGGCCTAAAACGTCATAAATTACTGTTAAAGATTTCGTTGAATTATATTACGTAGACGTAGCGTTCTTTGCGAATGTTTTAAGCATCTTGATAGCATGCATGCCCACATAACTAAGCATGCTCCAACCCGCTTTCAACCCGAAATACAAACTTCTCCTCTAGGAAGGCTAAGTTAGAAAACTCTATCCAGTTAACTCAGCTATCGCTGATAAGTTTATCGCCGTACCCCGGGCACAAAATTCATATTTGTTGTCACAAATTATATGGTCACCCCTCATTCATTGAAGCATTCATGTAGTTCTAAACTTATTTCTTAACTTGAGACAGAATCAAACGAAACTATCCGAATGTATAGGTTTCGTTTGATCGTCTTTCCGAATAAGACGAACAAGGTAAAGAAGCTTTTACGACAGATCACGTATGGAGGCAATAAATACCAGTATTGTCATAGTACTGTAGACATGAGGTTTCATATTTCATCCACACACATCTTAGCCTGCCATGCTATACACATAGAGAGATTTTCCCTCTACATATTCATCACCGTAGAGCTCTTAAAGCGATCCTCCACTTAACATCTTCTGCATCTGTGACTCGTTTCAAAATAATACACGGATAATTACATTAATTACAATTTACTGAATTGCTGACCGTAGTCCAGCTTCTCAGCACGCAAGGCACGTTTCAAGCTAATACTCGGATAGTTACATTAATTACAACTCACTGAATTGCTGACCGTATTCGAAGTTTATTCGGTTGATCTCGTAAAAGTCAACCATTGTATCGCAGAGCGGCATGCTAAGCCACGGTTAAAAGCTATGGCTCACGCGAGACGAAGACGCGAACTGGGCTTTATTGAGCCGTTATACTTAACGGTCACGTGGCGTGCATGCCAAACGAATCCGGCGCGGCAAGCCCGGCCCCGGCGTGTTCGTGCCCGCGTGTCATCAATCCACCTCGGTTTTAATGTAACACGTCGCCGCTGAAGTGAAATTAATTACGCTAAATGAAGCAATTCTATCTGACACGCTCGCGGGACGCAAAATGTATTTTGCACTGTCCGAAACACCGGGATTTTGAAGCGTAGTTGAATGCGACGACGTGTTTATTTAACATTATATAGTTGTGTTTTGTGTGAAAGGCATTGGGTAGTAAGTCCCAACGACCAATGCGACCTAGAAGATGTATTGTCAGCGTAGTATTCCCTTTCGAAAACATAGGATAAAATTATCCTGTGTTGTGAGGACGTTTTACATACCTACATAAATTTCACGTGGACAAACACCCAGATACGAAACAATTATCTCTGGGTAGCAAATAGTTGTCTCGTGTGAGAATTGCACCTACGGTCATAAATTATATATTACTTTAAAGTAATGCAATGTAAGGTAGTACTTTAATGCTAATGCGTAAATTACCGCCGTAGAACAGCGCAGAAGCTAATTGAATGCGTTTGTACAAATAAGCTGGTCCGTTCAGGGACCTTTATAACGGATGCACCTGCTCGTTTGACACCTTCTTCCGTAGAATGAAATAACTTTTTTGATTGGTTAACGGTTGCCGCGACTCCGATCGGACCAAATCTCGGGCCCTCTTTTTTATGTGTGAAGGTGGCAAACGAGCTGGCGGTTCACCTGACATTGAGCGATAACCGCCGCCCACGGACATTTGCAACACCCATAGGGTTGCAGATGTGTTGCCACCTTTTAATAAATTGGACCCGGCTACCTCACTCGCCAGATGAAACGCAGAAATATATCACTTCTACTTCACGCCGGTCTCCGGTAAGGTCTTTGTACTTATCCGGACCTGCCCATTCGTACAACAGCGAAGAGTGTTGCCTGGCCCTACCACAGTTCTCGAAGTATACAAGCACAAATTTACAGACAGATAGCGAGTCCTTTTATATGAGTTTATATAGAGAAACACCAGACGAAGCCTTTGAGCATTAGTTGTAATTTACCATCGTAGATCGTTCAAACAACGGTTGTATTTTACTGTAGTGTTGGTAATGTCTGCACTCGTGTATACATCGCATGTATACATCAGCCCGAGCAAACCGTCCACTAATGGGCCCCTGAAGCAACAGGGATCCGCCGCCCGAGCGGTGACGGGTTAATTGAGCGAGGCGACGCAACCCTCGCGTTAAGGGTTGACACGCCACGAGGCGCACAGCGGCGAATGTCGCAGCCCTAAGCTCACGTAGTCAACCCCATGTACGTGGGATCGCCAATAAAATACTCTCAATTAGAGTTACATGAAAACTACCTAAATATTCTTATGTATCGCTGCTAAAAGGTAACATTTCGCAAAGTGTTTTTAAGTGGATTTTGAATGATTAAATGTATATTACGAATTTCTTAAGTCCAATCCGCAGTGGGAACGCGTGGTGGACTATGCCCTGATACTCTCTGAACAGAGGACGCTTTTGCCCAGCAGTGGGACATGTTTAGGCTGTTACTTTACTTTTACTTATATAAAACAACACGCCCCCGATGTTTGTACGCTATCTTTTAAACTACGCAACGGATTTTAATGCGGTTTAAAGCAATAGATTGAGTGATTCAGGCATATTATAGTACGGACCGGGGCGGGTCGCTAGTAAGTAACAAATCTATAAAAAATAGTGAACGTTATTAGTTTTGATTTGCTGTCGTCCGAAATTTGAAATGAATCAAATATCTATCCCGGTGACTGTACCCGCCCAGACAGGACATTCCTTATTTAAAGCAAATCGCAGTCGCCCCATCGTGTTGCGCGCGCAAGTTTACTGAAGCGCGACGCTTTTGCGCGTGGCGCAAGTGCATAAGGGGAGCGGTGGTTTTTTATAAGAAGGGTGATACAACAGTAATGATAATGAGTATAAATCAAGATGATTAATCTTTTTTTTTATGTGAAAAGTTGCCAAACGAGCAGACGGTTCACCTGATGTTAAGTGAATACCGCCGCCCATGGACATCTGCTACACCCGAGGGTTTGCAGATGCGTTGACAATCTTTTTGGAAATTGGGTTCCGGCTACCTCACTCACCAGACGAAACGCGAAAGTATTTATCATACTTCCACTTTACGCCGGTCTTCTGTGAGGTCGTGGTACTTACCCGAACGAGCCTGCCCATTCGTGCAACAGCCAAGGCTGCTGCGTGGCTCTACCACCGTTGAAATCGTAAAAAGTTAACACATTTAGTGCATTTATGTTCCAAACCCAGGGTACACTCGGAAAAATTATTTATCTTGACCCTTCCAAAACGCCTCAACAGTGCTTATAATTTTATCTTCATTGCAAAGAAAGTTTTCTTCGATCCATGGAAAGAAGTAGAAGTCACCGAGAGCCAGATCTGGTGAATAGGGCGGGTGGTTAAGTAGTACGAATCCTGTTTCTCGAATTGCATCGCAACTGCAGCCTTTTGAGCCGGTGCGTTCTTGTTTCCCGAAAACTTCTTATTTGATATGCGTAGTAAGAGCGTAGAAAAACGTTTCACCGTAATAATTCCCTCAACGTCCCTAAACTGACGCAATATCCCTCCCTGTCGAACTCGGGAACACTTTGAATTCCTTCATCCAGTCGGGATTCAATCGACGAAAATTCTCCTGATCTGCCTGGAACTCCCCCGCGAAATGTCGACCGTTTCTTATGTTGCTCGTCGGTTAGCACTCTTGGCACCCAATGCGCAGAGACCTTCACATGCAATTCAATTGCTCCACTCACGTATTTTTACCCGCAGCCGGAGAAGTCAGGCCCTTATTAAGACTTATTAAGACCCTTGACTTATTAAGCTTATTAACCTGTATGGTTGTGTATGTCCCTCTCTATCCCTTGTATCTACTAGGCTGAATGAATTTTAATGAATGATGGCGTTAGATTCATTGTCATGGATGGAGATATTATTAAAATTCAAAAAAACAGAGACGGATTCTGGCGCTGGAATGTTAGTTTTCAAAATCTTAAAATATTACGTACCGCGGTGGAGTTGTTTTATTTACTTGTCATGACCGATTGCGAGTTGGGATAAGTTTTGAGAAATTGGTAATTTAAAAAGTTTCAGTTTGTAATAAACTCGCACACTACTCGATATAACGATTGTGTGTTTCGTACGATATCAAGTGTCAAGGTTTTACGTTCACACTGGACTGGAAAGCGATGTCTTTATGTCGTTTGTCAGACGTGGCTCGGCTCTGTAGCCGGGGGTGCTGTCAGGGCGGAAGTGGCGTACGCCGGAAACGGTCGGCGCATTTGTCGAATTGTCGCCCGACGCAACGGCGATCGGCGCCCGGCGCCCAGCGCCATTTAAGTGGTTTCATTTCACCGTTAAAGCTGCTCCAACGACAGAGTTGACATTACCTAATGTTTACGCGAACGCGATACATTTGGTGGGCGTGGGTTTAATCCCCACAATTGGAGAAATATTGTGTGATGAACATGGTGTTTTTCTTTTGTCGCGGTGTGTATACATGTATAATATAAAGTGTTTATTTACAAAAGTAGTATAGCAAATAATAAAAGAAGTATATATAATACTTTCACGTTTCGTCTGGTGAGTGAGGTGGCCGTAGCCCAATTTTCAAAAGGTTGTCAACACATCTGGAACCCTAGGGTGTAACAGATGTCCATGGGCGGCGGTATTCACTTAACATGAGGTGAACTGTCTGCTCGTTTGGCAACTTCTCACATAAAAAAAGTATGTTATCAGTTAAGTACGTTTATCAGTTACTTAGTATCCATAACTAGTACAAGCTTTGCTTAGTTTGGGACTACTGTCATGAAATATTTATATTTTTTTAAATGGATTAAAAATACTCTTTATCTCGCGTTTTGGTTCACGGTCAGCCACGGGACAGCCACTGCAATGAATGCGGCACGGCCTTTGCAATGAATGCTGCCATAGTATTTGTAACATTGGGAATTTAAATCCTCGAAATCTACAATGGTCACCCTGGCTTTGCGGTATAACAATCTATCAGACATCTGTATATATCTGGATGTATCTTGGTCTTCAAAGTGTGGTTCTAAGTAATAATGGGCCTTTCGAATGTAGTATTAGTTACATTCCTAAGTTTACGATGTTTTCGTCCGTTTGGACTGTCGCCAGTTTCCTTCGCTCTTTTTTGTCTTTGTCCATAAATTCAAGATCTCCTCTTTTACCCTATGTGTTCATAAACCAGATAAACAAGTTGTGAGACGTTCGCCGGAGACCAGGAACATGCTTGCTTGAATCTGTGAATAATTTAGGTGAGGAAGAAATCGTTGGTGCACGCACATTAGTGGAAATAAAATGTATCAGATAATGCTTTGGATTAATGAACTTCGTAATTACTCGTCTTCGCCTTGCATATTTAATCTGTTATTTTTATAACTCCTAACAATCTAACTTCTTCTTTCTCCTGCTGTTCCCATCATTCCACACTAGATGGGGACACGACATGTCTATCATTTATTTTCGGAACCGTGTTGTTATTTCAGTTATTGGCTTTAATTTTATGACCGACCGCCTGCCTGACAACCTAACTAACAGTTCTTGCTATTTTAGAGTTTATCATATTATTTTCTAAATTAATAGATTTTTTGTTTTTAGTTTTATTACAGTTTCATGTTATCTCAATTTAAATTTATTTAGTTATAATTCTTACTCTCTAATTTTTTTATCATTTTGTTTTTTGGTTTATTGTTACTACACTCACTATAAGTTTATTCTAATCGGATTTCATTCTTTTTTTGTTTTTGGTGTTTGAACATTCACAGGAACTCCACATAATATGTAATTTACTATGTTTTAATGTTTCATCTTTTTAATGTTTAACGTGATATGTGAACGTACGTTGGTGAACCTTTTAAATAAATAAATAAACTAACGTACTTAATTAATATTGGTCCTTGTAACAAAATTTGAGCGACTATAGTAGCCACGGCCCAAGCACTCGACGAGAGATTTTGTCTTCACACGTATGCTGGCAATCGCGTAAAGATCTCACCGAGTGGAACGTAAATACTCTCAATGTGTATACAATTCAATTGACTAGCACATTCTCGTAAAAATAAGTAAAGAAAATTGCGTCACGAACTTCCGCTTTCTTCTTTGTTTTATGACGTTTCAACATTTCTTTCTTCCGAGCCTCTTGGAATTTTTAACTTTACCCATCATAAGATCTGAATGCTAAAAAAGTAAAGTAACAGCCTATACATGTCCCACTGTTGGGCAAAGGCCTCCTCTATACAGAGGGTATCAGGGCATAGTCCACCACGCGGCCCCACTGCGGATTGGCGGACTTCACATATCTTCGAAATATTTTTTTTTGTTATTATTTCGAAAATATGCAGGTTTCCTCACGATGTTTTCCTTCACCGCGGAGCACGTGATAAGTCAGCACTTAAAGTTAAAAACTTCATTGGTGCCGGCACCGGGGATCGAACTCAGGTTGCTCGAGTTAAGGGAGAATTAAAGGCGAGCGCCCGGACACTGAGCTATCACGGCTCTGAATGCTACGCTTAGGTTAATTAGATAGCCTAGTTCAGTAAGTCATTACCGTCATAATGATGTTCAATGTTAAATATTTATATATGCGCTGTTAATGTTATTTACTTTACGTAAACATAACACTTTTTTTATTAATGTCCCGCTTCTCCTTTTGATTATTTTATTGCAGTTTCTTGTGTGTTCTTATGGGAAGCGATTGTAGAAGCTTAAATAAACTCAAGGAATTCTAAATTTTATTTCACCGTGTATCCGAATTTCTAAATTTTGCAAATCAATAGCCAAATATAGGATAAAGTTCCAATCTTATCCTTCCAACTATCCCAGCGGCAGCTTAACGGAGATCGGGTTTTCGTAACAGATTATAAGAATCGAAGATGTCGGAGGGACAAATTTCTCGCCCCTTGCCTCGACGGTTCACCTCCGACATCAATCATAAAGTTCGAGGGTCGCCTGGGGCGGTGGACCGCCGTCCGGTTCCCCCTCACCCCGCGTGCAATTCATCGCCATGGAAACTTTCGGATGTATCAATTTGGTGTGAAATCGAGACGTTTTCTCTTTGGCCGAGAGAGAAATAGAGGGAAATTTATGGTTGCTTTGTCATTGTTTCAATTTGTTTTACGACGAACCGGCTACCTGAATTATAACTATCTTCTTGATACGTTATTACGTACCTAGTTAATTTAATGAGAAACTTATCGATTCGGTTAATGGTTGCTCTGTAAATTTAATTTGTAACCATAACTTTTTCTTTTAAATTTGAACCATCGGTAGCGTTTACATTTGAAATACCAAACAGTTTAGTAGGAGAAGTGAATTTGCTTCACATGAGATCAACAGATTGATACAAGTGGATGAGATAATGCATTGTGTTACTAGTCAGTATTGTCAATTTTTTATAAGAACCAGTTTTCTTCCTCCATAACAACTCGGGTATTGTTCATTATCATCTACATATACTATACTCTCTAATAGCTACCACATATTATTAATTAATGTAAACGAGAAGTAAATATCATCTTATACACATCAAAGAAGTAAGCATGTAATGTATAACGGTTAATCAGCTCATTAAATTGATTATTTTCAGGCCAAATTTATTATTTTTTTTTTACATAAAACAAATTATGACTAAAACAAGCAAACAACAGCATACACCTGCGCCCATGCTACCTCCATTTATGAAAAACCGCCCCAAGTAACTTAATAGACGAGTCTCCATCCGGTCGATGGGGCTCCTCAGCGCTGTAGGGGTTGTGTTTATACGATGAGGCTAAAAGGAGCCTGAAGCCTTTTGAGTCAACAGATTAAGTGCTGCCGGCCACGCAGGACCAAACGCGGTAAGTTATACGTCATCCCAAAAGAAGCGTTTTACACAATTAATAGGGCAAAGTTTATCGTTCTACACAATTAGTAGGGCCACGCAACACCGCTATTACATGAATGGGCAGGTCCGTCAGGATAAGTACCACGGTACTTACCATGCCAATGCCCCTGAGGAAGGCCCTGAGATCGCGACCTCACAGAAGACTCGCGTGAGGTAACCGGAGACATCTATTAACACCTGGTTTTACCCGTAGGTTGCAGATGCATTGCCAGGTGGCAACGTATCTGCAACCCTACGGATGTTGCATGACTCTATGGGCGTCGGTTATCCTCAGATGAACCGCCAGTTCCTTTTCCATTTTCTGACGTACAAAAAAAGAAAATATTAAACGGTTCGATATAAGCGAAAAGGCACATTAAAAATACGCCTTTGTTCTTCGCGTGCCGTCAAGCAGTCACCCCACGCATATAAACCGGATGAACGTATAAAACGGCGCGGATGTCCTTATCCCGCGGATCGTCGGGGCGATAAAAAAGAAACCTCCCTCCCCCTCCCATTCCACCACCCCTACCCCGCCACCCCCGGCGGGCTTGGGGCGAGCCGCAGAGCGCGGGAATCTGGCGTCGTGGTTGTTGGCCGCATCTTTGTGGCACCTTTATTCTTTCATCCGCCTTTTTTAGGCTACCACCGCTGAGCTGGTCTCTCGCAGAGGCGGCGATGGGACCTTTTTGAATTCCGACGAAACACGGAAACTATCTGTTATTGTTCGAACAAAAATCATGGAACTCGCGTCATCGTCACCGAACGCTTTCCATGAGCTATATTTATACTGTGTATATATTATACGGTTATTGTCGTTCGAAGTGCCTATAAAATATGCAGAATTAAATATTATTATACTATATATTTAAATTGTTATATTGTTTTATGTTTTCACTTCTGCGGCGGTCCCAATGAGACTGCCTATTTTTTGTTTTGAAAACATTCTGTTTGTGACATTGATATATTTCATTCATCAGACAAATGAATTCTGCTTTATTTGATGTTTCTTTACAGTAGCTCAGTATGTAGATGCCACACTCGGCCTCGCTGTCCTTGTTAAGTTTTCAATTAGCACCCACCGCCTATTTGCGTGCGCCGATGTCTCCGGCGACGTGCCACCGAAACGCGAAACTTTAATTAAAAGTTGACGCGATAGCGTCTGTCGACGGGATTATCACGCCCGCAGCCCGCCCCGATAAAGGAAATTATGCCCTAACCCACCAACAATAGGGCTCGTAATGTACCCGCAACGGCGTTGCCTCTTGGTCACAATCAAAAGCGACCCTAACATCGCCGCCGCAAATCACGTATTACCTCAACAAGTACGGAAAACTCGAACCGGCTCGAAATTAAACCGTAGCACCGGGTGGTAAGGCGCAAAATGCCTTGGAGGAACGCCGTAATAGAAATTGAATCCCCGCAAACTGTGAAGTCGCAAGTGACACGGCGGCCGCTTTATAGAGACCCTCGAACAATCCGTGCATCCCCCCGGTGCGGTCTGTTTGCGCCACAGCGCGGACGGCGAGGGGGGTCGCTTTACGCTGGCCGTGTCGGCGTATAGTGCGCCGTTAAGTGGAGGAGTTGGATGCCCAAGTGGCGAGGGTGTGCGATTACGAACAGTAATCGACTTGATCCCAATGAAGTTGGTAACAGAGTGGCGCGGCCCGAGAAGATGAGAGGGGCGCAGAGGGGACGGCGGGTCTGCGTCTACACTCGCGATTTGTTTGGACGATTGCGACGCGACCTTCGCCGCTTGTGATGAATCGGATTATACATAAGTCGGATGGGTCGGGAGAACGTAATCAAATATTTTACAGCCATAAACACTGTAAATGGTATTGGTCTTGTATACTATAATGGGATATCTGAATGAAAAAAAAATGGTTTCTAAAGTCTATTCTAATTGTAGGGGACTGAATACGAGTATTTACATTATTCGGCCTAATTGTTCATTTGTTATCTGTATTAAATTATCAAACTAGTCATTATATTACTGATAAATTTTGGCTACAATTAGAGAGAACATAAAACTTTGCAACTTTGCAATTAAATATTACCAAATTATACAAATTAAGAAAAAAAATAGCATGGTTTCCAGCAAAGATGCTAACCACTATAAATCTGTATAGTTTCTATTTATATCGATACTACAGATCTTTAGATCCTTTAATTAACTTCACCAACAAACTTATAAGAACACCATTATTTAGAAAAAAAACGTAGCGTTGTTTGTCTCTAGGAGAATATTCTGCTCGATAGGCATAAACGTGTATGGCCCCCTCGTTAGTGTTTGACACTGTAGGCGTGCGGGCGGGGGTGGAGCGCCGTTGGGCTGTAATGGAAATCCGCAGACGATGCCGCGGTGGTCTGGCGTGCGGTGTAAGCCACGAGCGGAGGCGGAAGCTGAGGCGGAGTGGGTATTGTCGACTGATGAAAGAAGCGTTTTCTGTGACTAGGTCCGAACTTACAACTAATATGTTATTCATCTCGACTCATGAACAAATGTGGTATGTTTCTATACAAATAAATCCTGTTGGCAAGAATATCTATATATAAATATATATTTATAGTTTGGAAAACAAATAAATATCCACAAAATAATAATAACTTCTAAACATTTGCGATAAAAATCAAACATTAAATTTAAGTATGTACTAATATAATTCCGACAAAAATTGCAATATAATGTTTAACTCGCTCTTTTCAACCGACTTCAAAAGAGGAGGCGATTCTCAATTCGACTGTATTGTTTTATTTGTTTGTTAACTCATAACTTTCGACTCGTTTAACCGATTTTGATGACTCTTTATTTATTCGAAAGCCGGTGCTTCCCATGTCATATTAATTTCATTGGTATTGGAACTTGGGCTACGGAGATACTTGGGAACTCTTGAAAATCAATTATAAAATATTTGAATTGGGTTTTGTTTATCGTTAGTAAAAATTTACCTGTTTCAAGAATGGTTCCGTGATTGAGACCGCTCGCCCACCAACAACAAAAAGTTGTTGTATCCAACTGGACACACCCCACACTGTCCGCAGTGGAGTGGCCCCCGGTTCCGCTCGCAGCGTGTTCCCGCAGCGCGCCCGCCGCAGATTGTCCGATCGATCGGCACCAAATCCGTACGACGAGGGTCTGCGGCTCCGGCCGCCCATAGATTATGCACGCGAATCCACAATCGGACCCGTCACTCCGCCGAGGAAGTGATTTGAGAGCGAGCGAGCGAGCGATTGCGATTGGATCGACTCGGTTCGTTGCGTTCCTATTGATCTATGAATGAATGAATGAATGATTTGTCATTCGCGTTTTCTCCATCAGCTTGCGCAATAAAATCGAAAGAGCTAGATTGAATTGTATGATTTCATTAACGATTTGCCGTAACGAACCACGTCCAAGCTAAAGATTGACTCGATAGCTACGTTCCTTGCTATGAATATTGGTTGATTTATTATAGAATATAAACGAATAACAAAACCAAACAATAGTAAGATACCAGTATCGTTCTCTTAAACCAATATTATTTGAGCTTACTCAATATTTTATAATGTTTTTTTCCATCATTTTTAAAAACTAGTTAATATGTAAAAATTTTATCCTCAAAAAACGACATGGTGTAATTATTATTTCTGCTTCTTTCAAAGAAAAGGACGTTTGTTTATGAGAAACGGGTGCAATGTATTATCCATATAAACCTTCCACTTGAATCACTCGTATCTAGTTAAAAGAAAACCGCATCAAGATCCGTTGCGTAATTTTAAAGATCTAAGCATACATAGGGACAGACAGACAGCGGGACGACTCTGTTTTATACTATGTAGTGATGCAGAAACTGAACAAGCTGATGTAACAGTGACCAAACTAGTAACGTGCTACAAATATCCCTTGTGTGTGCCCTGTTGCTGTTACTTCATCGCCTCCATAAAAACACGCAAACGGAATTCGAATTGCCCCATTATGCAGGAAGATCACGAAAGCTTTACCCATCTGTTTACGTCTCTCTAACATCCTCCTAGTATTATTAATATACATAATAGACCCTTCTTCGTCTGTATCCGTTAAAACTGATACTTCGCCACATCACACACGGGAGTGAGGACCACCGATGATCCTAATGGTCTCCAGATGACACGCGCCGTATATATTTAGACTGCGATCGCTCTCGGAATATCTGTTTATGCGTTATCCCCGTATTTTATGCCCGTAGCGACCGTCGACGCACGCGTAGAACGCATCGCAAGAGATCAATCCGACGCTAAATACGTACGGGTATTTTTGAACGTAACGTTTGATGGATCCGTCAAAGATTCGTTTCTGTTGGTTACATCGATAGTTTGAAATAGCTTTTTTGTACAGAAAGTTTTAAATTTACACGAGTAAACACTTATTGATACTTTATTATTTACTATTTAGGCAAATGTTATATTAGTAGTTATAGTAGTCATATTATACTACGTAGCTGATGGATTCGTTGTAAATGCTTTACAGCCAGTCTATGTTCATTGTTCTATCTACAGATAAATTTGGTTACTAGCGATTTGTATTTGACATTAGCATCTATTTTTTATTTATTTATTTTTGTTACACCAACAAGATGAACACTAAATTTAGACAATTTATAGGTAATGTTATTAACAACAAGCGAGTGCCATCTCAATTATAGGTACAAACCACTATGCTTTAAATTTAACAACACAAGAACTTAAAACTATTTGTGCGAAAAAAAAGCCACTGAATAAAAGATAAAAACTCAGCGAATAGTGAGTACAATGAAATTTGCAGCAGCAATGTTAACAAAAAAAAGCAAATCCATAAAAGTAATCAAGAATTTAAAAAAAAGATCAAAAGAAGAAAAAATAAAAAGAAAAAACATAAACAAACATAAAAAGTTAAATAAATTAACATATTTTTTAAATTTTAAATATTTGTTTGAAAAAATATCAATATCAAGCGCGTTATTACTGGTTCTCACAACATTTATAAGTTCATCAGTTTTTTAAGGGGACTCATTAACACTAGAATTATGTAATGCGTTGTATGTAGTCATTAATCTGTTAAGAGGTGAATGTAGACCCAAGTTTGTTCGCGCTGCCTTAGTGCAGAATGGTTTATACTTTCTATATCTAGGAAGTCTTGAAGGTACAGAGATACTTAATTGCATTAGTAGCTTGGTAGAATGAATATAACCATTGACTAGTTTGTACAGGAACATGGCGTCAAGCTGCTTTCTTCGATGGTAAAGCGATGCTATACGAAAATATGTTAGCCGGTCATCATAGCTCGGTAGTGTTTTTGCTAAATTGCAACTATAGGATAAATGCCATAGAAATCTTTTCGGAACACTCTCTAACCACTTAATATATATGTCATAGTGCGGGTTCCGCACGACGCTGCAGTACTCCAAAGTGCTGCGAACTAATGCCGAGTAAAGAATAATTTTTAAATTCTATTAGATTTTTAGAATTCTTTGCAGTTCCGTAAAACAAATCCTAGGGTTTTGAAACACTTTTTGACTAAATTATCGATGTGGACATTAAAATGCAGCTTACTATCGAGTATTACCCGTAAATCCCTAATGTGATCAGTTATACTCAAAAACGTGCTGTTTATATGATACGTTCTGGGAGTAGATGTTTTTTTCCTAGTGAAGGGAAACATTTTACGCATTTACTGACATTTAAATCCATCGCGTTGATTCTACACCACGTAATAAGATTATTCAAGTCATTTTGTAATAATGATTCTTCCTCAGCTGAGTCTACTTCCCTGAAGAACTTTAGGCCATCCGCGTACATATAAACTCTAGAATTCCGAAAGCATTTATTTATGTCATTTATAAATATATTAAATAATAAAGGGCCTAAGTGGGAACCTTTGGGAACACCTGAAAATGCAGTGAAAGGTCTAGAATTGTGACCTCCTATTACGACTACAGAATTTCTATTTTCAAGGTAAGATTTGAACCAATACAGGAGAGTTCCAGATATTCCAAGTGACTCAAGCTTATTCACTTCATAATACTTCCATTATGGCATCATAATACTTACGTCAAAATTCTATCTCCAGTAACCAAATCTATCTGTAGATTGAATATTGAAACATATATTAATTGTGGAATGCACAAATATAATGATTTTTTTTGGGTTATTATCCTTGCTATGGGAAAAAAACATCAATGAAAGAGGAATAAAATAAGGCGCCATTTTGCGCTGCACCGCTTCCATAACTCGGAGTCTCATGAAAATTATTTCTAATGGAAGTATTCGCGTCTGCCGGTTAATCTAAGGGAGCGGGACGCTGGTAACTTCTCTCGGTTCAAATTAGCGCTTCAGACTGAATTAATTACCTCTCGCCGCTTCGGTGACAACCCTTCGCCCGACGCTAGGGTTGCCCGATGGGTTCACCTTTTTTTTTAATCGCATTTTAATTGGGACGTCGTACAATTAGTGTGAGCGCCGCCTACCGCCTGATTGCAAACTTTTGCATTGTCACGCTTTATGAAATGTGTTTTCGTCGTCCTCTTTTTATCATTGCTAAATTATTTTTTTAAGTTTCACAATGTTTTCCCGTTGATTATCTCTTTCCACATAACATTCTATGTTATAATGCTCTTAAACTTAATGCTTTTCACAATTTTCCCTAATTAAAATGTTGCGATTTATATTTTAGTTAAACTAAAAAAAATCTACCTTAAATTATATACATTAGTAGAAGTATTTACGATTTTACTATTATTAAAATTAAATGGAGAACAATGAGTTTTAAATGCACGTAAGGAATACCTTAATTTACGATTACTATCATTTTATGATACTATCATTTTACGATTTGTGTTCGATGTTTGATGATAGATTGTCGTATGGTTGCCTCTTTTGGTTGATCGCAGTAGCTTTCCCGATCCACTCTATAATAGTTGAAGGACTTGTTTATCTGTATTGTAAAGTGATGTTTACTGTACTGTCAAACATTATGCGTACACAGACATAGTGCGTTCCGATTCCTCTAGAAATAGTTTATATGGTAAAACAAAGTTTGCCGAGTCAGCTAGTAATGTATAAATCACTACATAGTATAAAACAAAGTCGTCCCGCTGTCTGTCTGTATCCATGTATGCTTAGTTTTCTTTAAAACTACGCAACGGATCTTGATCGGTTTTTTTTACTAGATTTATACGTTATAATACACCCGTGCGAAGCCGGGGCGGATCGCTAGTTGTAATATATAAAAATTTAATTTCTTACTGATCAACTGATCTACACTATATATAGTCTATACTGAGCTTGGGAGTCAGAAATAAAGGAAAGGCTTTTTATAAACGTCCACTGTAAAAAAAAAAAAACTTACCATAGAAGTTTGTACGATTGTCGGCCGTTGTTTTTAAGGCCAGTCCACTCCATACAGCGCGGTGCCGTCCACACGCGACGTTTTAGATGGCAAAGCGGCGAACAATAGAGCCCCGTGTGTACACGCCGCGGGCGGACAAACATACGGCTAACCGGCCGTCGGATATTTGCCCGGGCGATATCCAATTTTCCCCAACCCTACCCCGGCCGCCTCGTATCGGGTGTCGACGGCCCGCCACGCTCCTTTGGCAAAGCCCGCGCCGAGTAATTGACGGGGCGCCGCGCAAGCCACGAGCGGAGGCGGTTTTCATATTTGATTTCTCATACGGGAGATGGATACGGAAATTGAAATAATTTATGTATCCATCTCCCGTATGAATTATTGCACAAAACGTTACAAAGGAATGAGTAGTTGATGCCCCGAATGGCGTAGTGGATAGTGTACCTGCCTCCTCCGCCAGAGGGAGTGGGTTCGATCCCCACTACTGGAAAAATATTGTATGATGAGCATAGTTTTTTTCAAGTGTCTGGATGTTTATATATGTATAATATGTATTTATTTACAAAAGAAAAGTATGTTTAAGTATGTTTATCAGTTTTCTAGTACCCATAGTACAAGCTTTGCTTAGTTGTTTAAAAATGTGTCCTAAAATATTTATTATTTATTTAAAGTTAACAGACACACGGGACATATCATTTTTACACGTAAGCTTTAAATTACAGTTTTGATAAGTGATTTTAATTTGTACACGGAAGATATCAAAATATGTATATACCATACAGTTGTTTAATTTAATGTTGTTATTGTTTCAGGTAAGAATCGCCAGTGGTACCTGTTTCGACAACTAACGCTCTCTCCCGTAATGTATACAACATTATCTTATTTGAAGTAGCGATATTCCTCTGGCTGAATTACAACTCGTCCATGGAACCGCGAAGCCGATTAACTAACAAATTCGTACAGAAGATATGGATAGATCTTTTTGTTACTTTCTAAATCCATGGGACTATGTCGCTTGATCGGTTTAAGAGCGCGCCAATGAACAAAAGCTTTTGCTGGGTGTTTCAATCACGAAAATCACTCAGGGATAATGTGGCAAAAATGTCACCGCCAAGTTCCAATCATCAAAGTTACTGTCAGCAAATATTTACGAGCGCCATTGCAACAGTGGTAGGGCCACGCATCGGTTCGCTGATGTACGATGGGCAGGTCGTCCGGGGAATTGCCACTTCACAGAAGACCGGCGTGAAGTAGAAGTATAACGCTTCTGCGTTTCGTCTGGTGAGTGAGGTGGCCGGTGCCCACTTCATTAAAAGGTGGCATCACACCTGCAACCCTACGAGTGTTGCAAATGTCCATGGGCGGCGGTTATCACTTACCATCAGATGGACCGCTAGTTCACTTGCCACCTTATCACATAAATAAACCACAAAGTCTTTGAGCAAATCTTTGGCCAATCACCAGCCCCTGCAGCTGTCTTCTAATGCCAGTTGCTCGAAATATCGACGAGGAATTTAACAACCTTGGGTGACGGGTCTTTCGAGGTCTCCGCACATTGGACGCGGGGTCACGGGGTCGAGTAGCCGCGGTCTAGTTATTCGTTAGCGGCGATCCGTACAATTGTAGAGGTCAATTGGCAATTGACGTTTAAGGTCGAGACAGCCCATCCGTTCGGCACAGTATCGCATATCTTATCGTTACGCGACTATGCTATCGCTTGGAGTTAAACGGTTGAAACACGGAGACCGCAGGTTATTCCAACGTCTCAGTGTATCGGCGGAAAATAGAAGCATACACACTATTTCAAGTAGAGATTTTATATAGAGATCCGCACTCTTAGAGGTTGGCATCAGCAACCGCATCTTGTGTTGCAGACGTCCACGACCGTCATAGATCGTTTACCTTCAGGTGAACTATTGGCAAAGAGCAAGAAAGGCTTTATTCTTTAAAAATATGCTGTGTAATTGTCATTCCATTACATTACAAATAGAAGATAGAATTTTTCAGTCCTCGTATTAGGCTAAAAATGCTGCCATTTAGCTATATTCCTATATATAGCTGTATTTATATTGTTACGTGTTAGGGTTCGGAGGATTTGGAGAGAAAGACCTGCTGACTCTTTTGAAGACTTTATTCACTAGCACTAGGTCCAACACAAAGCACTAGGTCCAAACACTAAGCACCGTCAGTGCAGTGTCCTAGGTTGTAGCAAAGTCGTAGGTTTCGCTGGTATCACTCTTGATCACTTGTTTTCACCCCGAAGGTAGCTCAAACTGAACTGTCTCGCTCGCCTCCCTGCGGCTTTTTATATGGGCCGAGACGAGTCCCAGACTAATCCAGAAAGTTCCTTCCTGGAACGTACCCGACACGCGCGAACATGATCGTGATTCTGGAAAGTTCGCGAATGTAACCGGTTTTCGAGACTATAGTTCCACAGGAGTTCCTCTAACGCCATCTAGTAGGGGGTTTTATGTTGTCTTTGTTCGTTGAGTGGTTTTACTGGTTGACGCTAGATGGCGCTAGTTTCTTTGTGTGTTCGTAAGAATATGTATAGTTAACTATAGCCCTATAATCTGAGAAACTGTATATTATTATGTAAATGTATTCGTGTTTTGACTGTGCGAAACTTCAATGTTCTCTCAGATGGGCATTTCGATCTTAAATCTGAAGGTCTATTCCGCTCAAAGACAAGGCCTTGACAACATATGCACGCTGTATTTTCCGAGGTGCATTGAAGTGCTTCTTCCCTTTTTCTTTTTAGTCACCTATGAAGTCAGCTTCTGACCAGAAGTGAACATAGTGAAATTGCCTATTATAGTAGAGTGTCCAAAAAACATTCACCCAAGAACTAATTTTCACTCATTTAACGAATCATGGATGAAAATTAATTTGTCTAGCTTGAAATCTTTTTATAAACAAGTATATTTTTTTGCTGTATACTGTTTAGTAATTGATGTTTGTTTTATTATTTTGATATTCATCTATAGCACTGTAGTTGCGATGTTACGCAGACAATGTATTAGAGTTGTTAGCGGGGCTTGTTAGCGTAGACCGCTTTAATATAGGGAGTCAATTGGAGGGAATGCGACCTCTCGAATTGGGTCTGCCCCGACGAGACGCCCTCCGTATGCTATACGCTCCTCTTGCTCTTGTATAAGTGGGATCCATTGGTGCGTATGAACCCGACACATGCGCAACTATCATGATATGTAAAAAGCCAAGCATTGCTTCAACTGCTAAAAATCAATGTAGATAAAAGACGTTAAGATATTCGTCGGTGCCGCAAACAGCCGTTTAGCTTAGTAGCTAAAGCGCCAGGCGGCGAATGCCGAAGACGTGGGTTCGATTCTCACAGCGGCGACAATCTTTTCGTACTTACAAATTTCAATGATGATTTGTGTCATCGATGGACACTGACACCAGTAGGGTTTCGGGATCATTGTCGATCCATAAAAGCTTGGGTTACTGTCTCACTGGTCAGACGGAGCGCAACATGCAAAAATTATTATATAGAACAAAGACCACTTTAAAAATACCAACACTCACCTGTTTTTATCCCTATGTCACTCCCACAATTGGTATGGAATACGTACCTGCTATATGTGGAACGGATCTAATGACACTTAATATGATATATTAGACTGCAAAAGCTTTTTGCCAAAGAATTAAGTTTGTCATATGTTCCAAAAACATTATCCCCCTTCGGATGTCGGTTAGAAATTTAAATAATTCTACTTTCACTTTGTTTTTACGCCTTGGGTTGCTTGAGTACGGGGCGTGTAGTGCTGATAAGTGCTCATACGTACCGCGTAAATTTTAACGTGGTTATTATAAATTTTAATGGGCTATTTGAACAGTTGCTCGATAATACGTTCACGAGTTGCGTTCAACGAACCCTCACCGGAAAACTGAATTCATCGTACGCGTAAGAGTATAAAGTAAAAACCATTTTAAAATGAGAATCGGTGAGTAGGTTGAGTAGTGTACGTCGAAAGTTTCTCGCGAATGTGAAAGAAATTACATGTTGGCAGTAGATCTCCCAAACAACTAGGTCTCTGTGCTTGGGTTCTGGTCTGCTATGCTCGCTTTACATCAAAGACTATACTTGGTAAAAGGCGTAGAAGGATCTTTACCAGATATTGTCTGTCTTCATTACAAAAAAATTTATAAAAATAACATACAAGATTTGGCTTAAAAATCACAGAAAAAATGAATAATGTTATCCAATTCAATGTTTTTAAAAGTTAACATTATCCGCTGTGATTGTGTAAGTGATCTATTGTAAATTAAGGATAAAAATCATCGAGATTATGGAAACAACTCTTGCTTTTCCGTGAATTCCATTGCTGCGAGTTTATACAGATTTTTCTTTTGTCATCATCATATCAGCCGTAGGAAATCCACAGCTGACCATAGGCTTCCCCCATTGTCTTTTGTCATATCACTTTAAATAATAAAATAACACATGACCGCTGATATTTTTGCGCGTTCATAAGCGCTTGAAGCGGCCACAAGTTTAATGTAAAAGAATTCCAATCACTCGTGACTAGGCTGTTCGAATCTAGTCTATTATTCGGCGTTGATGCAAAAGACCCTCATTGTCCGCTAGGCGGTGAGCCGACGTGGTTACCCCTTTCAACTCCGCACCCCCTTGTGCAGACACGCGGGGGCGGAAACCCGTCATTTGTCGGCAGCCCTTAATGACGTCACGGGCCACCGCAACCGCACACAGGTTGCGGCATTCTGTGACGACGGAAAGCTGCGAGTGTTTAGAAAGTTTCGCGACGTACATTATAAGGACGTAAATAGTCCTTTGTAGAATGTTTGGTCCTGTTGTACGCCTACTACGTGATCTGTTGTTCGTTTAATATATATTTTTTTTAAACATTGCCATTGAAATTTGACCGTCAAATGAGGTCATAATTATACGCAATCCCCTTAGTTTTCACGTAAACTGCTCGTGTTAATGTGATAGACATTATCACAACTATCAAATGAGTCCAATCTACTACGATAAAACAATCGATATACACTACAGTGGGATAACAGCTCGCCCCTATGGGGCGTGAAAAATCGTTTGTATCGTTGTGCGTTCGCGCCTCGTCAGCTATGTGTACCCCATTGCTAGAGTAGTCCGCGCCTACTTTTTTGTTCGATTGGACGACGCGCGTGAAATAAATTGGCTGATCACTGATTCGTTTTGAGATTAACTAAATGCAATTTTATTTTTATACTATCTGTGCCCGCGACTTCGTCCGCGTGGAATTTAAATAAAAAAAATTCTAAAATAAAAGTAGCCTAAGTTACTCCTTCCCTTTCGTTTTTGCTTTCAGTCCCGGGACTATTAAAGCTTGACAGTGTTCGCTGTTGCACGAATGGGCAGGTCCGTCCGAATAAGTACCACTACCTCACAAAACACCGTCATGAAGTGGAAGTGTTACACTTCTGCGTTTTGTCTGGTGAGTGTGGTGACCGGGGCCCACTTTATTAAAAGGTGGCAACGCATCTGCCACCCAACGGTTGTTGCAAATGTCAATGGGCGTCGAAAAAAGACCGCACAGTACACACTTGCCCGTATGTGCGAACTGATCACAAGTTATGTATTGGAGTTGAAGGTTCGCCTTCTACCACTACGCCCTTTCACAAACATCGGTGACCCAACCAACGCGTACACGTGGCTCGTAATTACCCGTTTCCCCCCTTATCAATGTTTTATTAATCGACAAACCAATATTCGTGGGGAGCGTCATGCGCCACGCAGGACACACTGTTTGTTTTACATTACGTATGCGCTCCCCCTGTGTAAAGTCTCCGATACGTTTGAGCTAATTATAGAGTTCGGCCTTATGATGTCTACTAGTTAAGGGATGAGAAATATGGCACGTGTGCTTTACGACAAGTGCTGGCTGACATATGCGGTTACATCTTTTAACTCTAACGAGAGCTAGATATATAAATTGGGTTTAACGTTTTCTTTAATAGGCACTAATCTGATGCATTTGTTTTGTTGAAATCTGAGGTCATCAAGAAAGTTACTTGAATTATAAACGACGACTTCAAGTCTAGGAGCAACATCTACCACCGCTTAGGCATTGCTTTATATTCCACGTATGAGTAAAATCATTCAAATTAACACGATAGACTTTGATAAAGAAGTTTCCGATTTAAATGTTCCTTGAAGCAAAAGGTACAACACCAAATAATTATGTCTGTCTTGTTTGAGTTATATTTTATTATCAAACCTTAGCATTACTTATTACACAATGTTTTAAAGTTTCAGCCATTCTTAAATTTAAGTAAAGTAAAAAAGGTAAAGTAACAGCCTATACATGTCCCACTGCTGGGCAAAGGCCTCCTGTATATAGAGGGTATCAGGGCATAGTCCACCACGCGGCCCCACTGCGGATTGGCGGACTTCACATATCTTCGAAATATTTTTTGTTATTATTTCGAAAATATGCAGGTTTCCTCACGATGTTTTCCTTCACCGCGGAGCACGTGATAAGTCAGCACTTAAAGTTAAAAATTTCATTGGTGCCGTTACCAGGGATCGAACTCAGGTTGCTCGAGTATATTGAATTAAAGGCGAGCGCCCGGACACTGAGCTATCACGCCTCTTAAGCCCATACATTTAATACATATTAAGCGAATTTTTGTATATAAATAAAGCTATAACTGTTTGCTGGATTAGAATCGGCTGACGGCGTCTTCCGTACGGAATGTCGCTTTACCGTCCCGAGTGAAGAGAGTAGCATTAAAAACAAAACCAATCACAAATTGCTCGATACCTTTGAACAGAGCAGAGACGCTGACATCACCGTTTCCTCTTTCCAGGTGTGAGCGCGAACAAGATCGCGAAGCGGACCGACCTAGCCCCCAACAAGGGCGGGCCGTTCGCCGCGGCGCTCCGCACGCTCGCCAAGAACGCCGGCCCCGACGGGAAAGACGGTGAGTCGAAACTAGCCGCTCCGCCCCACTCCCAACCCCCTCCAAACCCCCCATCACACACACACACACAAACACGCCCCCGGCCGAGACACAGGGGATCCGGACTCGGCAGGGCAGATAACTGTCCTGCCAGTCTACGTGATTCATTCACCAGCTTTCAACCTCCGACCTTTGACCGTATACATCCTGCAGATGGATTTACAAACGCGCGGGAAGTAAAAGCGCTTGTTGTATATCTCGGAATTTTGGGGCGGAAATATCACCATGATTAGCGTTTGCTTAGCTTGCTACATAAATGACAAGTGAGGACGTTTTTTTTATTTATTTATGAGTGGCCGATTGAAGTTTTAAGGTCCTGCGGTGTGGGCTATGTATTGTTGGTCCAGATAGTTTATCAGTTTCTCATTTTATATACGTTATACCATGAGATGACTAATCGGTACAGAATTAATTTCGGCTAGAGTATTTCCGCTCCACTTTTAGATAAATCTCATCGAAAAATAGAGACGGTTTTAATGAAAAAAATAAATAAATGCAAACGATTCCAAATCTGGTCTATTGAATCATTTTCAATTTTTACGAATGATATTACATTTGCCTTAACCACAGATATGTTCATTTGTCTTAACCAAACTACTTTAAATCTAGGAGAAAAAGAAGTCAAATCGAAAAATTTCTATCAAACAGTGGTTCCCTGTTGCTCGTGCCGTGGGTTATTTCTATTTATATTTCATCGAGTTAACATGAAACGTTAACGAAACACTTGTCGGGTTCTCAAGTCCATTTCCTAGTTGTCGTGTCGTTAACTAAGTACATTTAATTGTATAATAGCTCCTAACATAAGACGCTAAAGATAGAATTTGTACGATATATTTAATTGCGTAAAAATGTTGTAATGATTGGCCAGAGTGAATATTTTTTTGTCTTGTCAAGGCCTCTGGTTCCATTTTCACTCTTGCCAATTAATGATTCCAAGAAATTGTACCGTTTTGTCAATATTTTTGTGTAGGCTTTTCTCTTAACCTTTCAGTATGAAGCTAAAACAGGATTCGGACAAAAGGTTTATTTAGATTTGTTTATTAGTCTTTAGCTAATCTTCTATCTATTTCAGGTGCTTAAAGTTATCTCTATTAATATTTGGTTAGATTATAGATCAGGAACAACATATTATGTAATTAAAAATATGCAACTATCTATTAGACTTTGTGTTGCGATTTATTTTATTTTGAATTCCAAAAACTTTATTCAGAATTGACATTTAATGTTTGCATATTGTTCTTAAATTAATGTTACATTTGCTTTTGTTTTATTTTTATTTTTCGCCTTAACTATGTGAGCTTCGGTTGTTTTTATTTTACGATCGCTAAAATATAACCATCTTTTGAACACGACAACACTTCCAACCTTTAAAGTCTGCATTGAGACAACTGTTTAACCATATATCTATGTGGTTAAACAGTTGTCTCAAATTTTAAATATTCATAAATAATCGGAGGTTTCTTAGTGAAACGAGAGATGAATGAATATCAGTAACAGTTGACATTGGCGGAGCGTAGACAGCAGTTTTAACATTGGAATAGCCAAAGCAGTGAATGAGAATGAAAATACAGATAATAGGGGAGATGGTAGATGATTTATTGTTACGGCAATATTTGCCCGACAAAGTCTTAGAACCGCCAGCGTCAACGGCCGATGTCGGCCCGGCGTAGAGCGCCAGGGTTTGAACCGCGAGTGTTTAGGGACTGTGGCGGTCGACCGCGAGCCCAAGGAGAAGCCCCCGCCGCCATCGAAACGCGCCTCGCCCCACCACCTGCCCGCCAGCGGATTCCAGCCCTATCGGCCCGATGACAGGTAAAGTACCACCAACATTCTTGCCATCCTTACTAATATTATAAACACGAAAATTTGTGTATATAGAAGTATGGATGTTCGTTACTCTTTCACGCGAAAACTACTGTATGGGTATTAATTAAACTTTACAGTAATATACCTTACACATCAAGATAACACATAGGCTTTAATTTAAACCGAAGTCGCGGGCACCGGCTAGTAATGAGTCTAACTGTCTTAGCTCTTGAACGTAAAACGTGTATAATAAATGGGCCCTAATAGATCGCTCATCCATAATATCAACTGAGAAATTCAAACTAAACAAAGCGTCTCCTAAATTTTAATCAAATTATTTATGTAGCACTTTAGATATGTGATATATGACGAAAGAGTGATGATAAGTTTATAATATTCAGAGTAAGCCATTCACTTGGACAACCAAGGATTATTCTGAATATTGGTATTTTACATTGGTATGTAACATAAATGTTATATGGCTGAAAAAGGGGCGAGTGACCAACGAGTACCATTCATACGAGTAGATTTGTGACTATACTCTTACAAATAGATGCTTCAGATATCATTAAAAAATAATGATATCTGAAAATGTCATCAATGCATAGCTAAATGATAAATTAACTGTTAATAATTTTCATCATTGAATGCCGTTGATTTGATGACGGCAGCCAGTAATTTGTACTAATGTGATAATAGATTGCTAATGGCTGCTTCGATCAATCGATCTGACACTAACGAACCGAAGATTAGAATTATGATTGTCCGTTATGATGATGCAGCTATCACATTACAAACAAAGTATAAAACTGTACGTGTCAATTGCAGATATCTGTGACATGATAAAACTGATGTGACGTTCTGAAGTAGACGAAGCGTATAAGATTTTAAATAAAATACAGTGGATAAAATAATTTTTTTGATATAGGGAAATTCGTAATGCACAAAATCCACACTTTGTCCCAGGGAAATAGTACGAATTGGTAGTACAGTCTCGATAGCTCTAAGCTTTAAGCATTAATGATCCGTTAGCCCCTAAACACGCGTATATCTGTAAGTATTTATGTAACTGGAACAAAATGTTATTTCCCTGCGCGGTATTGATTGTACAAATTTATACTATAGTATACGAATATCACAAAGCAGACTCAGCAAGTCGAAGTTAGTTAAGAAAGGCTTACTTGGAATTCCTAGAACGCATAGCAATTAACTCTAAATAGATTTTGATCTATTTTGTGTAATTTGTACACGCGCAATGATTGAATACATGAAATTTCTTTGAATAAAAAATTTGATGCAAACACTGTTAATCAAAATCAAGACTGTAGGAATGTAATACTGATATTATCAACGTCATTTGAAATGTCAATGGTTCAAAATCTGTTGCACTGAAGTAACTATCCGATATCAAATAGACAAGGCAATAGGTAAATTATATACATAAGACAATAGGTTAAGACAATAGGTAAATTCACAGACAACAAATTTTTATCATTTCCTTTCAAAATCGAGCTGAGATTCCACTGTATGTCATTTTGATCGATTCTGGAACACTATCCTCGTTTCACTTTCTTTTCTTGAGACACGCTTTTTTTAGGGTTCCGTACCCAAAGGGTAAAACGGGACCCTATTACTAAAACTCCGCTGTGTGTCGTCTGTCATCAGGCTGTATCTCATGTACCGTGATAGTTAGTTGAAACTCACAGATGATGTATTTCAGTTGCTGCTATAACAACAAATACTAAAAAACAAAATAAAAAAGTTTAATCGGTGCTCTCTGTCTTTTAAACCATTTTATACTATTCTTTTATTATACTTGGATTTCGTCTTTATAGACCCATGTATTTCTCTATATGCACTAGTATCATCTAAAGCTCGCGCAACAACTAACAACAGATAGATACAATGTGTTCAATAAATTAGTTGTGGTCATGTTTATAAGTAAAGACTATTTTGTAAAATTTTATTGTCATTTTACTATATTTTATGACGTTTTCTGATGATTTGCCGCTATCGTAAAGAGATTTAGATTTTCGTGAAGTTCGTCAGGACAAAAATAAAAGTAAAATCAAACGCGATTCAAATCCTTTCTAGCGCGTAATTACCATCCCACTATGGTAATCACACGAGGTCTAGATGTTTTACGCGGTTAACATCTACAACACATGTGGGGTGTCAGATGCGTTATCAACATTTAATAGAATACGCGTCTGTCGCCTTCCTAGCCGAGTTGTAACGTCTAAGCATGTAATAGCGCCTGTCTCTGTTAAACCTCACATGAGGCAAGCTTGTAATAGATCAGATGAATGGAGATCACAAAAGTGCATACATTTTCCTGTGTGCAACTGCATTCTTACAACAGCAGCTGCTAATAAGTAATTATCTTCATGTCTGGCGGATATCTGGTTTGATGTGATTGTGGGTACGCTAGTGATGACTCCGTGGCGCAATTGCCAAGGTATTGGCTTCGGCATCGGGGGTCGTGGGTTCCATTCTAACACGGGACAAGTATTTGTGCGACCCACATATGATTTTTCCGGATCTGGGTATTTGTTCCCATGGAAGAACGACGTCAGGCAGGCGACCGGTCGTAAACAATCTAGCTAAAATCACAACATGATTCATATGTTGCGCCGATCTGACCTAGGCGCGTAAGGCGTGTCCGTAAGTGCGGCAGGAAGATGATATTGATGATAATGTGGGTAGATTGGTGTTAACTCTGCGATTTGTCTGTTCTTCTGCAGGCTGGCGCATCCGGCGGCTGCTTCGTTCCCTCTACTGGAGCCCACCGCTTACTCTCCCTATGCCCACCCTGGACTGTATTCCAGCGCTGCTTTGCAGTACAGGTGAGTAGTTTCCTCGATGGAACGATATACCATTACGAAACGTATACGTCTCGGCTGTTATTATTCTCTTGTCTAAATTAACCTGTTTTGCCAACCACAAAATGATCCGTTTGTTTATAGCCCGAATCAAAACTGGTTTGAATTTACGATTATCGTTATTTTGAAATTTAACATTATCAATAGAAATTGCAGCAGCGGTGTAGTTTTTAGTTTCTATTAAGTTCTTTGTTTTATGTGAGGTGTAGCAAGTGAGCAGGCGGATCACTTGACTTTAAGTGATAAACGACCGCAATATCTAAAAAATGCAACGCCTTAGGTGTTGTAGATACCTTTCCTGCCTTACCACCATTGGTTTCCTGCAAGGCTGAGATGAAACTTCCTCTGACGAGGATTGCTTTGTAAAAAGTATTAAGATATTATAAAATCATAAGATAATCACAAATAAATAGTTTTAGGAAGTGCTTCAAAGACAGATAAACTAAATTTCAATAGCTAATATTAAATTCTTCATCACCACTGTTCATAACATGACGATCGTCTACGTTATTAATATTGTAAGGTTTTATCTTTTACTTTCTAGGAACAAAATAACAGCCATATGTGGGCTGTTAGCAAATGTCAATTTCTGGCAACCATTATAAGAGAAAGTGCAGCAGACTATTCTCGTTTGCAGGCTAGCGGCGGAGGAGCAGATGTACCTGGAGCGGGTGTTCCGGAGCGGCGTGGGCGTGGGCGTGGGATGGCTCCCGCCCTACGCTCTGTACCCACCGCTGGCACCGCCGCTGCCGCTCGTGCCGCACGCCGCCCACCCGGCGCACGCCGCCCACGCCGCTCACGCCGCTCACGCTGCGCACGCCAGCCATGCCGCGCACGCCGCCCACGCCGCACATGCCGCCCACGCCGCTCACGAAGATCGCGACAAGGAGCTGGCGATGCAGCGCGAAAGAGAGCGCGAGCGGGAGAGAGAAAGAGAGAGGTAAATTGAGGGGACGGGATAAAGTAAAAGTAAAGTAAGAGCCTATAAATATCCAACTGCTAGGCAAAGGCCTCCTCCATAGTCCACAAATTGGATTCGTGGACTTCTCATATCTTCGAAAATATTTTCTTTTATTATCTCGAAAATATGTAGGTTTTCTCACGATGTTTTCTTTTACCGCTAAGTCACGTTATAAGTCAGCACTAAAAATTAACAAATTTAATTGGTGCCGGGACGGTTCAAGTTGAATTAAAGGCGAACGACCGGACACTGGGTCACACGGCTCGGTTTATTATTCAATCGACTATCATTTCGTATATTTCGTTACGAAGATAGAGTGAGGGACCGAGTAGCTACCTTGAGGTACACCTCCTGCTAAATTAACCACCTGATCTATTGCGGCCGTCTCGCTGAGCCTATTCGTCGCGCGCTTTGAGCAGTGTCGGTTTCCGGTGCAGGGAGAGAGAGAGGGAGAGGGAGCAGCGCGAGAGGCTGGCGCGCGACAAGGAGCAGCAGCAGCGGGCGCTGGGGGCGGCGGCGATGCCGTACGGCGGCCGCGCGCCGCTCCTCTACCGCCCCTACCGCCACTACGAGCCCGAGCCGCTGGCGCCGGCGCCCGCCCCCGCTCCCGCCCCCGCCCCCGCCACGGCGCCCGCGCCCGCCCCCGCCCCCGCCCCCGCGCCCGCCGAAGCGGAGCCCGAGCGCGGTGAGAGCAGCGACGCGCCCGCGTGACCGCCCCCTCCACCGCCCCCGCCCTCGCTCCCGCCCCTCATCCGCCCCTCGCGCGGAAGCGAGTCCGCACCACGAGACGTAGAGTTACGATTATAAAGGAGAGTTACAAATAGCATTGTCAAGGGAGAGGGAACTCCGGGACCGGGAGTGTCCGCTCCGCGGGTGGAAGTCGACGGCCCGGGTTCCCTCCCCCAGCCGGTCGGACCCGTGCTCTGTCTACTACTAATCTTGAGGGTATGTGTGGCGACTTGTTTATGTTTCGCGCAAACGAATCGTCTCGGTCCGGTTCGTATCTCACCGTCGAAGTGCAATAGAATGCAATAGAGTTCCTACTGTGTGTGTGTTACGTTAGTCGCGCCGTTGTCGACTTTGACAGGTGACAGCTGTCAAGTAATCGTAGACAAGTTTCGTTCTGTTTCGTCCGTCGCCTGTTTTCAGTGATAAGTTTTTTTTTACCGACCTGATGCAGTTTTAGAATTTTTGACAGCTGTCGCCTTGTCGCAAAGAGGCGCCTTTGGGGAGAGGGACAATCGTAATGGGCGATTTTTTTTATATATGTTACTTAAAAACAAGGGGGAGCTGCTGCCCGGTGCAGACTGTGTAGATAGCCGTGCGATATTTAAATTGATTGGAGGGCAAAAGCCTAGATGTTATGATTTTTATTTTAGTTTTGTATCGGTCCGTCTCGCTCGTATCCTATACGTGGGAACGGGACGGGGCGATGGCCCTGTAGGAAATGGAATATTTCGAAAGCGTCTCTACGTCCCCCTTATACTTCGGCTATGATTTACTTTGAGTATTGTTTTTTTTTTATATACGATATTGTATTATATTTAATATGACACTGTCTTACATATGTATTCCTTTACACTGAGACTAGCTGTGATCATGTTTACGTTAGTGACATTTTAATGTTTAGGGAAATGTCGCAATGACATTAAAGTAGGACCACATTGATGTCTTGAAATGTTTTGTATAATCATAATTTAATTACTACTTAGAACTCTCTACCATTAAGTAGTCATTTTTAGTTAAATTACCTTTTGTATTCCTTTTTGTAACTGTTGTATTGTTTTTCGCTGTTATCGAGACCTTTGTGTCCGATTGTGCTGTTAGAGGAGGACGGCACTAGCCTCCTCCGACGGCGTTAGAGGGAGACGGCTAGCTTTCGGAGTGTGTCCGTTCCCGGGGCCGGAGCGTTTGTGAGGCGGGGCGCTCCCTGTCTCGTTCTGTATAAATTAAGTAGGATTACAATTGCTGCATTTGTGATAAGACTTAACGCCCCGCAGTATTTGTCGCTTGGGGCTAAGGAACGCCCCGCCCGCCTTCCGCCCGATAATTGTTTCTCTTGTATAAGCAACAAAAAAAACCTCTTTGTACGTTTAACTTAGATAGTTATCTGATAATTTCTAGCTTTTAATAGGTGTCTCTGTAATTTCACACGAGCTCGACTCTCCGCCCGCTCCGACGGCGTTTTTTGTACATAGTTACTTTATAGTTAGACACGATATGGACAATACCTAACAAGTGTAATGGAGGACGAGTGTGAGGAATAAATGAGAAACGACAGCAACAACAATAACAACGTATGATTTTATTGAGGAAATACATTCAGTGGAATTATAAAGAGGCATGCTGGTCTGGCGGGGGGGAGGCAAGCGCCTTGCCCCCTCCCCTCCGGCCCTGGTTCACTTTCTTTTGGCTCACCACCCACCACCCCACTCCCACCGACCCCACTCACCCCACTCCCGCTCGAAAGCTTCATTGTAGACGTAGCGATCTTTTGTGCTATCTACCGTGTACCGTTTCAGATGCACGCGTGGTGTTACTGTGCGAATATTCAACGGGACACATTTGTCGATTAATCTAGGTCGATGCAAACAAATTTTAGAGTGCTATATCGGTATCGAAGCTTTATATATGTCGGTATCGATTCGCCACCGTCGACACGCTGTGACCTCGCAACGGTTTTCTGCTGTTGCGGTAATGGGCAGCCTCGACCGGGGAAGTGGGAGTACTATATGCAATGGTTCGCAACTCATCCGCAACCCCCTCGGGTTAAAAAAAACCCTCAGGTGTTTTGGATACAGCCATCTATCTATTATATCTATATTTGGCCATCTCAATCAGGTGAACCGCCAGTCGCTTGCTACCTTCTCACACGCAATCTAAAACTATACAGCGTGGCGCTAATACCGCGACCTTAAATAAACACATATATACAGGACAAATTTTAAAATTTTATTAAACATTTACTTTCATTAAACATCAATATTTACCGAGTTATTTAATTTTCCAAAGCAAATAATTTTAGTACACGCTACGTATAAAACTGTAACGTAATATTTATTTGTAAAGGTCACAAATCAGATGAATTTGAAAGAGATAAAATACTGTTAGAAGGAGAGACTTGTAGTACGACGCTGTGGCAACGAATAAAAAAGTCTCAGAATGTATGAATCAGTCAGTTGTAGTTATATAGGATGTTCCAAATTTGTTTCTTTTTTTATTTAATTATTTTGAACATTTTTTTAAATCATGGATTTTTTTAATGTTTATATTTTTTTATGACTACTGGCAAGTAGCGTTAGAAGTGTGTTCATTTAAGGCCGCGATTGTAACAACATGACGTATATGAACACATTCTGGCCAATATAGATAAATTTCAGATAAACCAGAAAGACCTCCGAATTTGAACTCAGATCCCGCTTTCCTTGACTAGATGCATAAACAGTTATTAAATTTGTTAACCGTTAGAGAATTGATAGAAGAAAATTGCACAGTGTAAAAAATATATCCATGTATGGTTGTGAAATCCGAAAGATATCATCGAATCATATACCACTGAAGTTTACAATGTATCATTGTGAATTTGTAACTTCTATGTATATATTATTTAATCGTGCCTATTAAACTATGGACTGAAACGAATTTTTATTAATTAAATTTTAGAAAATCTACCACCTTCGAATAATTTAGCAAGTCTCTCTGTTAAGAACCGTAGTAAATATTTATTTTCAAATATGTCAAATAAAAAGACCTGTATATGTGCTTTACGAATACAAGCAGAAGATCATTTTGAGGGTTTTAAGAAAACGTAAGGCAAAGAAAGATAAATAATGTGCTAGGCGTAAATAAAAAAATTCTTGCATACCGTATTCATCATAAAATATTTGATTTTTGAACTTTATGACCGATAAAAGGATCTCTTTGTATTTTAAAATGCACGTATTTGGTTTGTAGTCTGATGTACATAAACACCTTTCAAGATTACTACACCTTTTTGTAACATGTTTTTTTTTTTTATAAAATGTGTAATTATAAGTTCCACAAAAAAACGCCTCTCTTTTGGAGTATAATTTTTCTAGTTTCTAAACTAAATAACAAAATCACAGACACATAGACGAATCAAACCCACAAAGTGTGTTGCCAAACTCGCCAAACAAACTTTAAGCTCCATGGGGCCTGACTAGCTCTAGGCACCACTTGCACCAAGAGTTTCAGGAAAGGCATTAATATACGAAATGGAACTACTGTCACAACCTTACAATAACCACATATAATAACTTTTTGAAATTGTATTAAATTAATTTACCGTCATTAAATATCTTTCTTGCCGAGTTATTTAATGTCACCTAACCTCTACTTAGAAAACTATAACGTAAAGTTCATTTTACGTTACATCTGTTTGTGTGTATATTTTTTATTGTACTAAAAGTTTTTACAAAGGCGAACTTAATGCTAAATAGTATTTTTCTCCAGTTAACCTTTGGTGGTCGAGAGCAAGTCACGCTAAAATCACTTATGAGATTTTAAGTGTCAATCATAAATAATTATGAAATATGGCAAAACTAAACATACTTCAACATAAATACAAATAATTACAATTTTACATACACATACTTGCATGTATATGTTATATTATACATACTATTTATTGTACACTATATGTATATTCGAAGACTTACATTCGTGTCAACGAATGAAGTCTCTGAATGTATAAATCAGTCGGTTTCATTTGTATAGGATGTTACAAATTTTGTTTCAATTTTATTTAATTAGTTTGAAAATGATTTTTTTGATGATGTTTTTTTTAATATTCATTGGCAAGCAGCGTTAGAAGTGTGTTCATTCAATTTCGTGATTGTAACACCATACTGTATATCTAATTGATAAACTCATCTCTTAAAACTAAATATTCATGTTGTGACATGGTAAAATTGACGGGATGGCGATATGCAGTCTTGCTAGTTTCAAAGGGCACAGAGCAGCGAGTTTGCAATTCCAGATAGTACGCGTCAGTCTCGTGTAATGCAATATCCACCGACATGTTCACATGTTCTAAAACATGTAAACATGTCAGTTTTTAATTCATTGTTTTAGAACTAACTTTTAGAATTCGTCCGAAATATAAGGACGTGACTTATGGTGCTGTACGTAACTAGTACATACGTAGTAGGCTTAGAAATACTTTTTTTTTTCAAAATGTGTTCATTTAAAGAAGCAAAAAAAAATGTTTACTATACTTGTTAGTATTCCTGAGTGAACCATTGTTTTCAATTCAAAGATAAAGCTAGAAGCCAGAAACACTGCGTTCATCGATAGATAACAAAATAGCAGATTATAAATAATTAGGAGTAAATATAATCGCCAAGCGACGTTCTATGACCATTACCAGTTAATCTGGCGTCCTAAAAGTCTTTTCTTTTAAATTAAGAATTTATTTAAGTTTTTTTTTTAATGGCAACCCTTAAAATCTTCTAATGAACTTGACGCCCGGTTTCCGAAACACTGATCATCGTAAATGTCAATTCAAATGGCTTTTCATTTTTTATGGAAATGGATGGTTAGATTCTCTGAATTATTCAGAATGATCAGAATGATCAAACAGTTTAACCATCCTTTTGGTAACTCAAATGACATTCGAAAAGCCATTTGACCGCTGATTAGTTGACATCTACGATGATCAGTGTTTCAGAAACCGGACGTGAGTATTGATTAATAAAATACTGAATAACCAGTCATCGAAGATTGTCCAGATATTGGCTAAGCAGTCTACGCTACCTAAGGAAGATCGATATTTAAATCCGCTCGCAAACTTCTTGCAACTTTGACCCTTTTGTCAGAATGAAAAAGTTGGCGACCCCATTGTATAATGGATGGTGACCCTGTCTCTTGCGACAGGGAGGGGAGTATGAGGTTCTTAGTAAAGTTTTGCAAGTTTCAATCGCGACTGGGCAGACTCGTCCGGGGAAGTACCACGACCTCATAACACAGATGTGAAGACCTACAACAGAGTTCGTCAGTGTTACTCAAATAAAATAAATAATTTTCTTGTTACTTAGTGTGTGTGTAAGACAAATGATGATATAATTATGTAAAATTTAGTTTATCAATAAACAAACATTTTTTGGTAAAGTTTAACACTAATTTCAACGTTACCGAAAATGTAATAAAAAACTAATAATATTGTCGTCACGATTTATTTGGCGTTTTGACGCACATTAGAACAAATTAATTGTAGATAAATATCAAAACCATATTATTGGTTGCCAAGTAAGACCGCTTCATCATATCGCGTTTTGGGTGGTTAGTGTGAGCATCGTAAAAATGTTAATCTCATATTTTTTTTTGTAATTTATGTAACTTCATAAATATTTCCATAAAATATTTCGCAACAATTGAACATATCATTTAAAAGTCATTTAATAACTATTATTATTAAAAAGTGTCGCACATCTATTCCTAAAAGGTAATATTCTGTCATTCACACCCGCATAGCAATCCTTCATAGACAAAAATCCGTCAATAAGCTGTCACAGCGCAATCGGTAAACAACCGAGAGGATATCACAAAAATTATCTTCCTAAAGCGAATAGGTTATATGGAAAAATGCCCCCCAATGGCGAAGCCTATACCGGACCTTGATCTATCCGAGCTGTCGAAATACGCGCCGAAGCGAAAGGAAGAATCTGTCTTCGACGTGACGGTGAACAACATCTCGAAGCGCTCGTCTAGCTCGAGACTGCTGTTAGGCACGTTAGGGGGCTGGGTGACGGGGGTGGGGGTGTCCAGGGTGGGCAAGGTGGCCGCCTTCGGGTTGGGGGGCGGCGTGATTCTTCTCCACTTCGCCTGCGAGCTGGGCTACGTCCACGTAAACTGGGACAAGGTCCGCGAGGGCGTCGGCCGCAGCCAGGAGCTGATGGAGCAGTTTGTGCGCTTCGTGAAGAAGAACAGTTGCCTCTCCGTCGGCTTTATCGGAGGGTTCTTCTTCGGTGTGGCGTCCACTTGACGCCTGTCCGCGCGGGGGATGTTGGTTAGCCAATAAAAATAGTGAACGTAGATTTTTGTTGTTTCATTCCTCGCACGACAACAGATCGGCAGATCTTATTGTCGGTTCTCTCGGGAGCTGATCCAAGTTTAAAAAATGACGAAATTGAATTTGAAAAAAGATGAAATTAAATTCGAAAATATGTTGTAATCATTTATTGGATCACAAAAGACCGTAAATAAGTGATTAGGGTAAACGTTGCTGGAATTTTTCACAGATTAGTGAACTGAACAACTTTAATTCGCGTTCATTGGAGGCAACAAGGCGTTGCAAATTGGATGTTGAAAGGATGAAATAACAATGGGAGGTGGTTATCACTTAATATCAGTTGAACCGCCTGTTTGCTTGCCACCTTCTCACATCAAAAAAGAAATTAAAAACAGTTCGAAAACAATTTTTACTGGCATCATAAACAAATTATCTGAAGGCATTTTTTGACCCTGTTTGAATTTAACTGCGATCTGACAGAGATCTTAGCATCATCTCATATAGGTACTTAGGTACCTACTTACTAAATCGGAATCACTGTTCGTATCAGAATTTCTTAACAAATGTCAGATGCCCATCATATGCTGTATAAAAATTGCATTTACACATTAGTTTTACAAAATGACGCTTCAAGTAACAATATGTAAAATGATAAATCTTAAAAAAAATATCAACACGCAAACATAAAACTGAAAAGATACTATTTTAATCATCTACGTCTACATCCCTGCTCACCGCAGGAAGGTAGAAAAATAATGATACCCATATCTTACAGCTTGATTATTTAGATACGTCATACAATGTAAAGTCTCCCGATCAAAATAAAAACAGCTTCACGTGGGTACAAGAAGTACATTACGTAATAAAAAATACACTACATTTTCATTAATTAATACTGGTTACTAACTAATAGGTCCATTAAAAATACAGTGAATAATCATTTGTTAAAGGAGAATATATCCCGATATAGAATAAGGATTGTATCTTTTATTGAATTTATGGATGGTTAAAGATTAAAAATATGAAAGTAATATTTACCACCTGTATACTGTTTTAAAATACCTAAGTAGTATCTTATGGCATTAAATATACATATTGAATAGTGACAATGTACAATATTGTGAGAAAGGCGCGCGGCGTTATCCACATCATAAAATGGTAGATGTTAAATAGTAAAAATAAAATCTAAAATCGAACAAACGAAAAAGCTTTAGATTAATTTTAATTTATGCCTAATCAAATGATAACGATTTCTCGGTAGTTGTTTAATTCCAAGCACGTTTGATGTTTGTTAGAGCCGTGATAGCTCAGTGTCCGGGCGCTCGCCTTTAATTCAATATACTCGAGCAACCTGAGTTCGATCCCCGGTGCCGGCACCAATGAAGTTTTTAACTTTAAGTGCTGACTTATCACGTGCTCCGCGGTGAAGGAAAACATCGTGAGGAAACCTGCATATTTTCGAAATAATAACAAAAAAAATATATTTCGAAAATATGTGAAGTCCGCCAATCCGCAGTGGGGCCGCGTGGTGGACTATGCCCTGATACCCTCTGTATAAAGGAGGCCTTTGCCCAGCAGTGGGACATGTATTGGCTGCTACTTTACTTTTACTTTGATGTTTGTTGAGAGTCTGGACTCTCACCAAACACACAGACAGAGAATATTAACAGTTCAATAAGCACATTCAATAATAATAATCATCATCATATGCCGCAAGACGTCCACTGTCGAACATAGTCCTCCCGCTTAGAAAGCCACGGCGAACGACACTGCCATTTGCATCCACCGGCTGCCCGTGACTCTTACGAGGGTGGCCTTCCAACGCTGCGTATTCCGGTTCGTGGTCGCCACTCGAGAACTTTTACTCTCCATCGGGGTGAACTCTGGGGAGTAAAACTTCATTCAAAAGTACATTCAGTAATAGGTATATATTTCAATCATCACTTACTTAGGCGAGATTCAAAACTTTATTCGAAGATCCAAGAAAATTCCGAGTTATACAGCGTGTCGTTACATATAATATAATAAATAACTCTGCTCCCATAGTCATTGTTAAATCTGAAAAACTGTTACAGATAACATAGTGTGACGACCCCACATAAGGCAGTAGAAAGAAGAAAAAAAGGTCTCCGTTACTGAAAATAAAAACCAAATACGAAATACGATGGCACAAAAACTTTTAATAAAATAAAAAAAATCATGCCATCGTATATATAGACTCCATCTGAATATAAGCAAATACCATGTTCAATCTACCTCATTTAGAAGCAAATGACCTTTCACGGACTACAAATCTGAGACAGCGTTTTACACATAAGAAGTCCGAATGATGAAAATTGAAAGTTTACATCAACATTTTAAGTTAATATACAAAAAGTGTGAATGAATGAATATACTTTATTGGGAACCAAGAATGGGAAAACAATAATAACTACAAAACTTTTTTTTATAATAAACGAATAAAATAGGAAAACTTAATAAATAACAGCAATTTCGTCCAGGCAACCTTTATTACGAAATATACTGTGAGCGTCACCCACGTAGAACTAGATTAATTACTTGATCGATATTCGTACTCCCACTGATAGTAATAGTTAAAGAAAACATTTCCTTTATTTGCCTTTATGTTCTTATAAGCCGATGAATATTCGCTAGTAACACCAGACGATATAGGTAATAATAAAACGATAATGGTATATTTTATTTGATTGCTTTTAATGCTTACGTTAGGTTGTGCTTGGAAACTGAGTTTTATTATAGAAATTTTAATAAGAATTTTATGATGAAGTGCTTATCTAAGGCTTATTAAAAGCTTTTATTTTTACCGCTTTGAAATATCCTGCAATTGCTTTTTACGTATTTAGTTCGGGTTCTTTAGTTTTCCAATATGTATTTTATGTTCTTTTTTTTATAATGTGTCATTCATGTTATGCTTTCCTGCGTCCTGCATTAATTATTTGCAATATTTTTTGCTTTGACTATTACTTAATAATAAATAAAATACGGTTTAAAAAACGCATGGAGTAATGCATGACAATAATATGGAAATTTCTTCCTTAGTCGTAGCCTACCTTATGGGAGCACCCATACCAACTGCGCCTTGACTTCAAGAATCAAGAAAGAAGCAAAAACCAAGAACGGCATCATTGCTAGTTCATATGTATCAGAATGACTTCCAAATACATGCCAAAGTTTAAGCAAAGTACCTAATTTCGTTTCTCCAAATCTCAATTAAAATCGTTTCTTAAATTTCAATAAATTCGTTTCTCAAAATTCTTTCTACCTAATTTCATTTACTTTAAAGATCATATTATTAAAATAAAAACATTATCTTTGTACCTAATTGCCTCGTCTAATTATTTGCTTTATCTGTCTATTCTAGTCTTTAGTGAATTGTTTATATAAGGCATCATTTAAAAAATATGCTTTATACAATGTGTGCAGAGATGGTGAGACCGGTCCTTAATCGAATGGATTACTTATTTTATACCAGCAGATGCACATACCCTTTAGATTTGTTACACGCGGGAAACATGTAATCGCTTAATGGATCCATTTCATTCGTTTATATAAGATTTGCTCTATTTCCACAGCTAGACCGAAACCGGTTGGAGCAGTTGTGGTAGCTGATCCAGAAGAGAGACCGCCTTTAGCACCAGAACCGATCACTCAAGCAAAGCCACCGGACCCCTTCAAAGGCACTGAAGAACCGGCCACATTCCTTGAACACCCACCTTTTTTACCGCCAAAACCAATACCACATTCTCCTAAAATCTCCCCCTCTTCTATACCCAACCCCAGCCCTAGCGTGACAACCACGAAACAGGTCGAACCAGGCTACCCCAATTACGGAGGATACATTTACTCAATACCCGGCTATTCGGCATTTCAGCCAGTCTCTTATCCGGGTGTAGTTCAACCGTCTCAAGCCGCATTGTCAACGGAACCGCCTAGCAGCGAGTTTATACCATTCCCGATACTATCGAATAAAGATTCAGCACCGGTAGTCACGACTGAAGAGAAACCATTAACGCCCACCAGCAAAGCCAGTGAGCCTCCGCCTCCAGTAACAGAGAAGCCAAAGGCTCAGACAGATTTCGAAGAGAACTTTACCCCTGCTGTAACTTCAACCAAACCAGCAACCGATGAGACAAAAAACCCAATAAGCGAATCTAAAATGAGTATAACGTCTCTGACCCAAGGCTCTGGAGCGACAGTGACAATACCGACGCAGCACAGCAAGGATGCCAAAAAGAAACCAGCCGAACGCTTCAGCTTAAAAACCAGCATCCCAATAAGTAAAATTGACATGAAGTGCGTCGGAAACCCATCAGAAGTATTCCAAGGTGTAAAGCCTAATTTTAATCCGACCTCTTCCAATACCAAGCCAGAGAGTGGCCCCAGGGTTGAGATACAAAGTAACATTGTAATCAAGAGTGCTCCAAAAGAATCTGAAAATAACGAGCCGAAAGAGAATCCACCTAAGGTTACCAATAGCATTAGCACATTAATAAACGCTGCCGAAATGATTAACAAAACGGACAGCCAATTCCAACAAAGCCTTGATGTTTTAAACGAAAATTCCAAAGACTCTCCATATCATTCTCAGTTGTCTCCAGCAACGTCACGGCCATTTTTCAGCCACAATATGGACGCAAATAAATCAAGTTTAATCAATAAACCACCTGACGGGACAACAAATGAACAAAAGAATCAAATATTGTTCATACAGAACAAAAATCCGACAAATCAAAAAATGCTAGTTACCATTCAACAGCAAAACTCGCAAGTTATGGTGCAGAGATCAAGCTTCGAGCCAAAAAACCTGCAAGCTCCTTCACGGCTATCCGGCCAAGGGAAAAAATGTACAGAGGAAATTCTCAATGACAATGGGTCTTCGTCAAAGGTTGTTGCATTAAAAAGATTGCATCAAGAGGACTGCGACGAAAATGATTTTGAGAATTTGATTACCGAAAATCAAATTTACGGTAACAAGATTGTCGTGAAGGAAAAGTCCCAAGGCACTCTGCAGGAACAAGACTTGAAAAATAAGAAAACATTCGAAAAATCGTCCCAACTGGAATCAAAGAACGTCGTACTGCAACCAAATTTTTTATACGTAAGTAATGTACAGTTTCCCGCGAACCTAATGATGATAAAAAACAATAAATCAAGTAACGAAACCAGCAAGGCAAATAAAACCTCGATGAACGAAACTAAACCTACAGACGTAATTACCACAACGAGCAGCACTGATACTTCAGTTAAAAGTACTAAACCCCAGACTATAGCTGTTAGTACAGAAATCCACATGTACAAATCAAGCAACAATGTAATACAGACCACACCCAACAAAACGAAGCCCGATATAGTATTCCAGACATCTAGCCAGAAAGTTATCATGAATCCTCAAATCGTTTACCAAGTGCCAATGGTTGTAGATTCCGATAAAAAGACCAATCAGACATTTGTCAACAAAGAGTACTCTAAACCACCAGGCCAAATAACAAACGAATTCCAGAAACCATATGAACAATCAAAAAACAATGATAAACTGTTCATAGCCTGCCCATATCAAATGGACTCAAAGCTGCAACCGAAGATTGTCATTACGAATATTAGGTCCAAAACTCCGAAGGCGGATGAGTTCAGTTCCTTGGATTTGTACGAGAAGAAAAAGCGTTTACGAAGAATGAAATATCTAACAAACCGGGAGAATAAAGATTCGCAAAAACCGGAACCTAAGAGGAATTCAGATAATCTGAAGGATATCATCACACCAGATAACATGAAGGACGAGATTTACAAAGAACTTACCAACACGAGGGAAAGGCTCGATGATGACAGTACTGACGCAGACAGCGACTACGATGAGGACGAAATGAATGAATACAATACCATAATTAACAGCTATGGAAAAAACAAAACAAGGGAGAGAAATGAAAATGACAAAATTGAATTTCTCGCTGGCCTCAACTTAGCTTCGGAGAAAGTTTACAAAGGTAAAGGTGGACTTTTAATATAACAATTTAAATTCTATCAAATACAGGTTTATAATTTTTATTTTGCGTAATAAATTGTTTTATGTTAAACTCTATAACTTGTAACGTTACTGCTGTGTCTTTCCACTTTAAATATAAGCGTTCAAAACACACGTCTTGCTTTGCAGAAAAAGAACTGGAGCGGATGGAGAGAACTATAAAAAGGGACTCTATAGCCGCTGCTTACATCACTGCTGGACGGCTGGACAGAATCTTTCACGACAACAGCCCACCGGTTGCTCCAAAGCCAGTGAAAACCTCCCCATCGTCTGAAAGACTCGTGGGGAATTACAGGAGGGACGACGAGCCGATTCTTCATCAAAAACAGATGTTCCTCTCGCATTTGAGCCTTGTACAAGTCACGCCCAAATACAGGGAAGGTTCGTAACTCTGCATCTTATGTATAGCCCTTCATTTAGTCTCAAGTAACGCTATGTATATAAAATAGTTCAAATTCAATGGATACACTGCCTCGTTATTTACGTAGTAATTAACATATAATGATAATAGTAAATAATGACAGTTATGTTTGTAGTATGATTTTTATATTCTCAGTAGATACCACAAAAGACGAAAAGTTCCTACAATTTTGTATTGAAGATAAGATAATTGTGTTAGAAAAGCTAAAAAACAAACAACTAAGAGGAGTCAAGTACCTCACACCTTTAGCTTGGTGCACCTTATATCTTATTAATAAAACAAATCTATATTATTTTGCAGGCTATGAAAGGGTGTGGCGCGAAATAATCAAAGAAAGGAAACGACGCAACGGTACGACGGAGACGGATCAAACTAAGCAGCCTAGGCTGCAGACGGAATCTGCAGAACTGGACCCGGATGGTCAATTGCAATTGCTGACCGAAATAAAGAAGTGCGTCAACGAAAACAACAACCTGATAAAGAAAAGGCTCGACTCATTCTGCGAGGACGGTGACAGCATACGCGTATTGGCCGAGAAGAACTTTTCGGAGCTGAATCGCTTGTCGAAAATGGCCGACAGGAGTGTGAAACACTTCAGCGGACAGGACACCAGGAAGAGGGACCTCAATCCGGGGTTCGACAGCGAGGCGATCCAAAAGGCCGCGACGAAACTAGAACAGCCATTCCGGAACTACCCGAAAATAAACATACCTAATATATCGAAAATAATATCGCTGAAAAGCATTCAGGATCCGACAACGATGCTGACTACTCAGGCGACGTCCATGGACGAACCACAGAACTCAGCGGCGGGCGTCACAGAGATGTTCAATGAAAACACGGAGAGAGTGCAGGACTTTGGATGTCAGGTTGAGGAGCCGAAGCCTTGGCCGGGGATCGAAGCACTCATAAGCCATTACAAAGAGTTCGAAATAGGTAAGTTTTTACGCAACAAGGAGAAATAAAAAAACCTTTCATGTGCCAAGTAACAGCTTTTGATCCGGAATTGCAGTAGAAATGCTCTTACAGGAGACATGCGTAATATCCCTCGGGGAATTAACTTTCGTGAGAGGAAGATGGCAAGAGCTGGCAGCTCACTTGATGTTAAGTGATAACCGCCGATCATGGATATTTGCAACACCCGTAGGGTTGTAGATGCGTTGCCATCTTTTAATAAAATGGGCCCCGACCACCTCACTCACGAGAAGAAACGCGTAAGTATAACACTTCCACTTCCCGCAGGCTTCTGTGAGGTTATGGTACTTCCCCGGACGGACTTGCCCATTCGTGCAACAGCGGATTATTGCGTGGCCCTACCGTAGTTGAGCATAGACGATTTTATGTTTAATTATTGCTTTTCCATATTTTTTTATATTATTTTAAGTAGGTATTTAACAGAAAACATTCTTGTTCAGTTTTTCGTTTTGTCATTGATAATTCTATTCGGTCGAGCGGGCAACTTTTACATCCTAGAATAATATAACAAATGTTCGTTGTTCAACTTCAGCCCGCAAGAAAGAGATCGCCGACCTCCACCGACGCAACACCGCTTTGCGGGTCGACGCGGCGCACATCACGCGCTTGGCCTCAAGAGACGCGGAGCGCGCGCGCGCCCTCCTGGCCGAAAGGCACAACCTCGCCTCCGAAGAAACCCGCGTCTCACAAACTCTGCACAGACTATATGCGACTATAGAGCTCGTTAAAAACTGCTGAACTGACACAATCACACATAACATAGACAACTAACCGGCCAGCACATACATCACGCGATCCTACATTTGGTAATAAATAGCTGAACCCTGATAATTATAACTAGCCTAAATGTACAGTGTGGGAAAATTATATTCCTCTTTATAAACATATAGATACTCACAAACAGTTTATGCGCACTGATTATTAAATTTTAACTTTTATTGTGGACTAAAGGTCCTTGAGGACCTTGAGGCCTTCAACTGATACACGCATGATACCGCTAACCTGCATACTGAATGCACAAACCATGCACTACGATAGAGCTCGATAAAAGTCATTGAACTCACAGTCACAGACAATACGGTTAGCCTATTAGTTTTTTTGTCCCCATTTAAATTGTACGTATTATCGATACTTCGTGGCTAAGGCAAGCTCTCGGATTGTTTCTTCTCTTTGTAAAATTACGAACGTAATATACACCAATATTATTTGTATATTTTTTATAATATGTTCCGGCGGGAGTATAGTGGTAATGCAATAACTTGTAACTTTCGTTTAAATTTTTATTTTTTAATATTAATAATTTTAAAAAAAAATTGTAAATAACTCAGTCAATTCATAATAATCGTAGGATATACATTTATACATTCAGTCCAGTGATCATGGTCTAGTCATTTGAACTTTTATTAGTCTTTAAGAATGACCATATGTACAGGAAAACGTCCGTTTTCCTAATTAATTTATAATTAGCGGCTTTATAACCTTTTTGAAATAATAAAAAATGTAAATAACTTTTTTGTTACATTAATATCAAAATTAGTTTTTTTTTTATTTTAATTTGACGTGTTTGATGTTATATCTTATTATCTGTTTTCCTTTAAGGAACGGACTTTAATTATTGTATGTACTTAAAAATATATTTTTAATATTTTGCAGAGAATATGAAAAGCTTACATTTTTCAGTGCCTATTAACTTGTACAAGCGTTGAAAATGTGTAACTTAATTAGAAATTTATTAGTACTCTATAGATTTAGATTAAAAATAATTAAACCTTTTGAAATAATAAAAAATGTAACTTTATCAGTCAATTTTTAGATATCTTTAATTAAGTGATCATGGTCTTCATTTGAACTTTTATTAGTCTTTAAAATGACCATATGTACAGGAAAACGTCCGTTTTCCTAATTAATTTATAATTAGCGGCTTTATAACCTTTTTGAAATAATAAAAAATGTAAATAACTTTTTTGTTACATTAATATCAAAATTAGTTTTTTTTTTATTTTAATTTGACGTGTTTGATGTTATATCTTATTATCTGTTTTCCTTTAAGGAACGGACTTTAATTATTGTATGTACTTAAAAATATATTTTTAATATTTTGCAGAGAATATGAAAAGCTTACATTTTTCAGTGCCTATTAACTTGTACAAGCGTTGAAAATGTGTAACTTATATTAGAATATTTATTATTTGTACTCTATAGATGCAATAACTAGATTAAAAATAATTAAACCTCAACTCATACATTGTTTAATTTATCAGAAACGTTCACCTTATGCGGTCGAAGTTGTCCAGGTCCGGAACAATTATCCTCGGATCATAAAAATACTTGAACCGTGTGGCAATCGAACCAACGACCCTCGGCGCCGAATCGAAAAAATGAATGCAATTTAAAAAAAAAATATAACAACTATTATTAAAATATAACAAATATAACAACTATATTTAGTTGTTTTCTCGTCTGGTTGGGTTTAAATAAGAACAAACATATAGATATTCAGCGTGTCTTTACCATCGCGACAATAAATGAACACACGTCTAACGCTAATTGCCAATAATCATAAAAAATATTAACGTTAAAAAAAATCCATAATTAAAAAAAAAGTGTGTGCGTATAGTGTAACCTTTACGTGCGATTGAAGTAAAACTTCTTTGGCGTTGACGGCATATATCACTGAAATGATTAAATATTTAGTAACGTCATAAGTATATGTCATATTTTAAAAATATGACGTCACTTCCGTCAGAAAAAGCGTTACTTCCGTCAGAAAAAATCTGAGTTACTCCCTAGTCGCGCCTAAAGAAGTTTAACTTCAAAAATATTTTTCAAACAAACACCGTCGATTTACAAGCCTCTCCTTCTAACAGTATGTTTTGTCTCTTTTAAATTCATTCAACCCATTCATATGCTTTGTGACCTTTACAAATGAACTTTACATTACAGTTTTATACGTAAGGGTGTTCTAAAAATGTTTGTTTTGTAAAATTAAATAACTTGGTAAATATTGATGTTTAAAGAATGTAAATGTTTAATACAATTTTGTTTCTCTATATGCGTGTTCATTTATTGTCGCGATTGTAAAGACACGCTGTATATTGCATATATAAAATAAATATTATAAATAAATATAAACATATAGATATAAATATAATACATATATAAATAGGAGCCAACCAGACGGAAGCCCTCGACAGGGGAGACCAAACGGCCGAGGGTTAGGGCGAAAGGGAGAGAAACCGGCGGACGATGCGGGCGGTATCGAGGAGCACCGCTTTCTGCATTTGAGCTTGGAGCGATCCGTCCCGGAGTCCCAGTCGCCCCGGATGTTCGGAGAGGCTGACTGGGATCAACCCATTATTATGGGATTATTATTATGATAGATCCAATTCCAATTTTTTAAGTGTATGTTTAGAAAACCCTCAGGGTTTTAAGCTTTTAAATTAAAATTTCCCTCCACGTTTTATATTCAAAGAAACTATAAACGATTCATTATTTATTTATTCTCAGTAACCGAGTCAAATGTTCATGTTTCTAAATTCAATGAACAAATAATTTCATACAAAATTTCCCCTCCATTAAAATTACATTAAAATTGAACATTCCAAAAATCCTTTGTTAACAGACTTTATAACTCATATTTCAAATACTAGTTTCGGTCATTTGCGTTGAAAGTCAAGTCAGGACAAACGATATAAGCGTAATAAAAGAAATGCAACTTTAACGAAAGTGTAATTAATTTATTTCAGTTTAATGAAATAAGTGTCTCCATTTAATACACGTCGAAACGAGTGGGCTGTGACCATCTATTTAGTAGCTCTTGTCCAAACAGCAAAAGGCAGTCCCGACTACGATAAGTGCAATGCCAAGAATCGAAGCTGCGAACAAACAAACATACAACAAAATTTTATGTTAGAAAGAGAAAAGTTATATAAGTATATCTTTATTGTATAGGTACATATTTTTTCCGGTAGTGGGTATATTTAATTTAAAGCAAGCTTCCAAACACCGAGTTATCACGCCAAGAAACACATAATTCGTAAGACCTAGGACCGAATCCTGGAACGGGTGGACAAAATTGTCACATAAAAGTTTGTGCCAATTGTCGACTTTATTGCAGACACCAATTATACTGTAATAAAAAAGGATATGGGTATGCAAGCGCTCTTTGGAAGCGGGGGCAAAGTGTAAGTTGAGAAAGACGATAATAATTGTGAGCTCTAAATTATGCGAAAATCAAAACAAAACTACATCTGAAATCAAAAAACACAAGTATAATTTTTAACAAAAAAAACCGACTTCTTATAAAATTCAATGATGGCCCTCGATTTCTGTGGGATGCCATCATCAGATCCGGATTTCCTTATCATGGTACTACCCTTGGGATAACTCCTTTCCGACAAAAAAAGAATCATCAAAATCGGTTCATAAGCGACGAAGTTATCCACGAACACACATAAAAAAAATAAAAATATATACGGTCGAATTGAGAAACCTCCTCCTTTTTTGAAGTCGGTTAAAAATAGTGACCACTTGTTTCTATAGCACTTCTTGCGGTACAGAGTGGATTCTCTAATAGGGGAGTGGACATAAAATAAATAAGGGAGACCAATACAGTCCACGTTTATCCTAAATAAAATCGACTGCTTCTGGTATTTTTTTGCTATATACGCTTAACAAGGAGGCCTGTGCTCAGCAGTGGGACATTTATAGGCACAGTGGGGCATTTATGGGACATATATATATATTTTACTTTATCAAGCATATTTATAACGCCTGGGAAAGGTCACAAGATGCAATAGGTGTCTTTTGCGACCTTTCAAAGGCTTTCGACTGTGTAGACCACGAAACCATCCTTCAAAAGTTAGATTATTATGGCATTCGTGACATCGCCCTCAATCTCATTGCCTCTTACCTTAGTAATAGAATTCAAAAAGTATCTATAAATGATGTAAATTCCGCAGGGTCCCCCATGAAAATGGGTGTCCCATAAGGATCAATCTTGGGTCCATTATTATTCTTATGCCCAGTTTCCGAAAGGTCAATCAAAGCAGCAATCACATAACACTATGTCAAAAATGATCAGCTGTTAATCTCTTGTTAAACTGCCTTGGGTTTCTGGAAGGTTTGTTCAAGAAAAATTAGCTAATCACGGTATAACCAATGATAATGAATGAAATGAATGATTTACTTCAACTAACTCTTTCTATTGTATAGCTGTCCCTCTTTAAACAAATCTTAAATTAACGTCATTATCCAGTGCTGTCACCGTGTGATTGCCAACGTAAAAATCAGAGTTATAATAAAATTTAATTTATATAAATACATGCAAAATGTCAAGAAAAAACTTTACAGAACGTGAAAAAAATGAACTTTTATCCATAATAAACAAGTAAGTATTATAAAAAGAAAGAATCTATATTATTTATTAACTTTTGAATTGCATTTTTTATTTTTTCTAATCGCAGGATCTGTTCGCATAATAATAAATAATAAACAGGTAATAGAATACATGAATTTCCTTACGACGTATTAGGGAATTATGATTATTTTTAATAAAAACTAAGATTTTTGATAAAATACATTTTTAACCAACGATTGATCGTCCAAATTGACAGTTTACTTAATAAAACTTTTGACAGCTAGTTGATCACCGAAAAATGCTTTCAGAAACTCGATTTTCTGTTGATTGTCCGTTAATCAGTGACTAATTGCAAATCAAAATCAATGTTGTTTTCAGACGTTCTAGCAACTCAATCATGTTAAACAACGTTTGACAAGAGATTTATCGTAAATTAAAATTGATTGCGCTTTCGGAAACTGGATGTTAGTGTATATAAATGATCTCCCCTTTTATGCCAGTGAGTTATGTGATGTTGTACTGTTTGCTGACGACACATCGCTCATTTTTAAGGTTGACCGAAACGTGTCGGATTATGACGACGTGAATAGTGCACTTTCGCGTATCCTCCACAGGTTTACCGTTAATAATATGGTGTTAAATGCTAAAAAAACTAAATGCCTTCTTTTTACCCTTCCCAGCGTAAGAAGACGAAGTTTTAGCTTAAAATTAAATAGCGTAACCCTTAATCCTGTTGAGTCCGCTGTATTCTTGGGAATTACAGTGGATTCAAAGCTCCAATGGAGTCCCCATCTATCATATCTTGCGAACAGGTTAAGCTCCGTAGTTTTTGCAATTAGGAAGGTTAGGCAGCTATCAGACATCGACACTGCCAGACTTGTTTATTTCAGTTATTTCCACAGCATCTTGTCTTACGGCATTTTGTTGTGGGGTAGTGCATCTGATATAAATCTATATTTATTCTTCAAAAAAGAGCTGTCCGAGCAATCTATAACATCGGAGCCCGGAATACACTCAGAGACCTTTTTAAAGAGATTAATATACTCACTGTTGCATCTCAATATATTTATTGTAATATTTTGTATGTTAAAAATAATATTAATAGTTATCTAAAGAATAGTGACAGACATAAACTAAATACTAAAAATAAGGACAAACTAACTACGCCATTGTTTCGTCTACAAAAAGTAAACAGGTCGTTCATGGGGCAAGGTGTGCGCATGTATAATAAAATCCCACAGTCGATATTAAGTCTGCCACTTGATGAATTTAAACGAAAAATTAAAAGTAAACTTATGGCTAAAGCCTATTATTCTATTGCCGAATATCTTGACGACGCCAATGTGTGGGGTTAATACTGTTGATACTCACGTAAGCTAAAACAAGACTATTGTACCTGTACTATTACATTGTAAACTGATTTTTTTTAAAAAGAGCAACTTTTGAGTTTCTTGCCGGTTTCTTCTCAACAGAAACTGCTTTCCGAACCGGTGGTAACTTACGAACGTGTTACTTTCTTGTAAAATTTTGACGTTTCATAAGAACGCGCAAGCGTCTATGTGAATAAAGATATTTTATTTATTATTATTATATACGGTAAAATAGGGGTCGAGGACAATCCTCCATTTTTACCTCCTCATGTTTAAGCCGTGAGTAAATAATTTACCTTGCAATCTCCCCTTCCTGACTGCAATTGGCGCTCGCAATTCAGCAGGTCGACGGACCCAGGTCTCCACCGTCTCCCGTACGTGCTCACCTCGGTCCAGGGGCTCCTCTGCGCCCACCGTTGCCCCGGTGACGGCGGTGAAGGCGAACGCCAGCCCGTTGGAAGTGGGCACGGCCACGGAGAGGGGGGCGCGCTGGACGGCCGCCAAGTAGGCCAGCGAACCGCACTGGTTCACCACGAACGGCACCACGTACTGCCAACGAATGGGCTTTAGTCTAATGAGCGTAATCTTCGATACCGAACAAATGGGGTATAAGAGAATCGTGACGAATATCGGAACTTAACTGACTATACACGTATGTACGCTCGGCTAGTGATGAAAAATGTCTTGGATTGGTTTATGGCGGTTTATGGGATCAAGAACCCGTGAGTCCCGTGACCTCAGTTGGTTTACTAACACCAAGAACAACGTAAGTTATATAAGTTTTTTTTTAAATGATGACACATTGTGTAAACGAATTGATCGCTCCAGGCTCTTTCAAGTAGGATTTAATATATTGTAAACACGTTTTTTTGTCAAATTATGTTGAAAAAAATTGTCCCGCTGAGTTAAATTCGCTGGTTTTTCTCAGGACAGTAGCTTCTTTTTCGAACCGGTAGTAGTTTTTAACAATCAATAAGTGCAATGCTCCTTTATTGAATAAAGATATGTGAATTTGTATATACAGCGTGTCGTTACCACCGCGACAATAAATGAACACGCATCTAACGCTACTTGCCAATAATCATTATAAATATTAACGTTAAAAAAATCAATAAGTAATTAAAAAAAATATTTTTCAAACAAACTAATTAAGTAAAAAATAAACAAAATTTGTACCATCCAATACAACTACAATTGACTGATTCATACATTCAGAGATTTTCCATTCGTTGCGTTGTAATGCGACGTTACAACGTCGCATTACTACGCCTCTCCTTCTAACAGTATGATTTGTCTCTTTTAAATTCATTCAACCCATTCATATAGCTTTGTGACCTTAACAAATGAATTATACAGTTTTATACGTAAGGATGTTCTAAAATTAATAAAAATTAAATTATTTGATTTGGAAAATTTAATAACTCGGTAAATATTGATATTTAAAGAATGTAAAGGTACAATTTTAAAAAGTTATCCTCTATATGTGTGTTCATTTATTGTCGCGATTGTAAAGACACGCTGTATAATTCAGATATGACGATATAAAATGAACACTTTATTCATAATTTGAAGGTCTTCATAAGAATATATACGTCAACCATGATAACATAAAATCAATCCCTATTATTACTGAGTAAAGTAACGAATTTATAACCAACCCTCCAATTGCCCAGCAGGAATATTATTTCGGCGTACGCCTGGGCGAGTATGCCATTCGCTTTAACGGCCCGAAGCCCCTTTGTACCGCGCCTTATGAAGGGATTGGAGCAACCCCACAGCATCCCGGTTAAAACCAACAATCCTGGAACACAGAGAATTGTAATAGAAAAAAATTTCGGCTGTGGCATAGCAAAAGTTTAATTTATAGCATAACTTAAGCTTAACTCTCGTCCATTTCAATTTAGTGAATCATTAGAAGACTTAAGTGAGTTACTTCCATAATCTGTTCCATAAGTAAATCTTGCATTTTTCTGCATTTATCTACGCAAAATATCACGTCATTTTTTTATATATCACTTTACCTGGGTGAGAAAAAGGCAAAGCAAATGTGAACTCTTTCGGATTCATAATGTTAGATGGGTAGCATAATAATGGTTGAGAAGGGAATAGGAGATTGAAGACATATGAGAAGAAAGAAAGGAAGAATTATATTGCTAATGTAATCTACTTAAGATGGAACATTAAAATTTTTAATTTGTAATTCCTTGAGATTTTTGTCGGTGTGGCAATCAGCCGTTTAGCTTAGTGGTTAAAGCGTCGGTTAAAGGAACGCGAATCCAGAAGACGTGGGTTGTATTCCCACAGCGACGAAAAAGTTTGGTATTTTTTCTACGAAAACAGTAATATTTAAACCATCAGACTTTTTACTTTTAAGGCCATACACCTACTAGAACAACCCAAGATCTTCACAGTCTATACATGTAAATCTATTAAATTATAAAAATAAAAATTACTAAAAACTATAAAAATTAGTAAAAATAAATAATCGCTACTAATATTATAAGCATATGAATGTAAGTTTGTTTGTTAAGCTTTCACCAAAACGACTCAACCGATCATCATGAAACTTTGTACACATATCATTAGAGGTATTAAGAAGGACAGGATCTTTTTATTAAATATTTTTTTTTCTATAAAGATATTTATGGCTTCATCGCGAGCGAAGCCGCGGGCAAAAGCTAGTAATTAATTAAGAAAATGTTTTCTTGTCCCACAATTAGTCATTAGTATTATGAAATATGTTCTGATCATGAACTCTTATCAGCAACATCATTAACAAAGTGGTTGAGTAATTGTTTTCCTATCTAGCAATGATTAGGTACAAATGTAAGCTGATTCAGTTTAGTTAAATACTTTCATTGCAGGTATTTGAAATACTTTACTAGTGAATATGGATCATACAATGTTTTTCATAACCGCTAGTCATTGTATTTGAATACAAAACAATTTTTTTACATAATATAATGATTCAATGCAATGGAGAAAGTTTGTATCTTGATTTTTCTCAAAGAATACCTTATATCAAATAAAAAAAATCGGTCAAATGCGAGTCTAACTCGAGCCGAGGTACCTACCCATTATACCACACGGACAGACAGACGGACAAGAGAGTGATCTTAAAAGGATTCTGTTTTTACCTTTTAATCTAGTTAGTCTAATTATTATGTATCTACTATTAATAAATACAATGTATTCAATTTCTCCCATATTTCTAACCAATTATGAACAGCCCAGTGCAGTAAAGTATAAAAATACAGATAGACCCTGTCGTAATATTCTCAAAATCATACCAGGAGGCAAAATGTGGGATGATATTTTTCGAACTTTAGGTTCGAAAAATATCATCCCGGAAGTAACCATACCGTACCATACCAAGTAGTCACTTAGAGCTATAATTTAATACCAATATATTCCAAAAATAATAGACAATGAAAAATATATAAATTTTATTGCAAACTATGACTAAATTGGTACATAGAAATAGCACCATTTTGAGCATCTATTTTATTTAAAGTATCATGTTCACAGTAATTTGCTTAAAATAACAATACAACAGGAGCAAAGTGCACTTTGCAATCAAGTAATTGTTTATAAACGTACATTATCTTGTAAGAGACTAAAACATCTTTAGAGCATCTTTACCACTTATACACATAAAATACATAACCAATCTCAAGAGTTTTATCTGCTCAATCATTATATACTGCAAAAGTAAATCAGCCTATACATGTCCCACTGTTGGGCAAAGGCCTCCTCTGTACAGAGGGTATCAGGGGATAGTCCACCATGCGGCCCCATTACGGATTGGCGGACTTCACATATCTTCGAAATATTTTTTTTGGTTATTACTTCGAAAATAAGCGGGTTTCCTCACAATGTTTTACTTCACCGCTGAGCATGTGATAATTTGGCACTTAAAATTAACAATTTCATTGGTGCCAGCACCTGGGATCGAACTCAGGTTGCTCTAGTGTATTAAATTAAAGGCGAGCGCGCGGACACTGAGCTATCGCGGCTTTTTATAATGCAAACAATATAATAATTTAGCATGCATTTCATCATAATTTACTTTTTAAATCACTATTAAAACTTTTTTGGTACAAGAAAATATCACAATATACAATATATCCATTTCTAAAAAAATCATTTATTTCATTTTTAAACTTTATGCAAAATGAGCATTAGCTTAATTAGGTAAATAGGATGTGTTATCTATAAAAGAAGAAATAAATTGCTAAAATGATTATAAAATTGAATAAAATATTGCACTATACAATATTAGAGAACACTTTTACACATGATGATATGGAATATTGCAAATTGAAATAATACAGTATTTTGTTAATTTCCACATTCCAAGTAAAATTTAGTTTTAATTTAAAGTTTACATTAAGTGTGATTATTTCATTTAAAGTTTAATATATCAATTAATAACAATATTAAAATGATACAAATATAAAAATATATTGCTAAAAAGTTAATACATAGTTCTATATTACATATTCACCACATTGTATATATAAAAGTGCTTATATGAAAACAATTAGCAAAGTTTTAAATCATTCAAAACTCTCGAAAATAATTATTAAACATTCAACTTTAACAAAATGTTTGTAGCCAAAATTAAAAGTGTAAAAGATATGAATAAATACATTGTTATAAATGTTGATCTCATTCCCCGAGACGGACACCGATAGTCATTGCTTTAACATCAGCAAACAAACAGTGATTTTTGTCAACCCATTTTACAAATTCTTCACCTAATGCCACTGAAACTTCTAAGGCCATTATGCAGTCATTTTCAGCGCGGTGCGCTTCAATGCCTGGACTGTGCAGAACTCTTTCATAAATATCCTTTAATTTGTAGCTCTCTTTTGGCTTTGAACCTTCACTCCAAGGAAATCTTCTGCGCACTTTAGACAGTTTCAATCTTCTTTCCACTAATTTCGATTCTTCATTGTTTTTTATTATTTTATGTTTTGGAGTGGTTTCATTTATAATTTTCATAGATAATGTGTTTTCTTTCTCTAAGTCTGCCTCGTCACTATTTAATTGACCATCAAGTTTATCTAGCTCCTTTGTGTTAACATTTTTTATTTCTTTCTTCAACTCCTCTGCACATGAATTAGAAGATTTCATTGTTGCCAATATGTCATAGAATGCATGCAAACAATCAGCACATAGAACATCATCAGAAAATTTCGCGGATATTTTCTGTAAATGGTTCTTCAATATTGGAAAGTCGAAATTGTGACCGTTCTGTGCGATCAGGCATACTGGCTTCGCGAGAATGTTCAAAAAGGAGTTGATTGCGTTGAAGGCGTCTTCGTTAAATCTCGTCTCGTGCTCTAACAAATCATTCGAGAGGCCCGTGGTCTTTGTGCAGCTCGGTTGAACCAAACGACATGGATTGAAACAGAGAGTAAGCTTGTTCTGGATCCTTGGAGAGGCGCCGGCGCGAGTTATTAGCAAATGCTCGCGTTTCACAGCGACCAAGCTCAGCTCTGTAATTTTCGTTCGATTAGTCTCTTCAACGGGAAGACCGGACGTTTCCAGGTCCAAAAACACGAAAGTAGCAACAGACACCATTCTCAATTAAGATATAATAACCGACTGCTAATCTTACCTAAACTCGGCAACATTTCAGCAAGGCCACTAATGTGTAAGTCATTAATGTTATAACATCATCAATGAATTGATATAAAAATAACTATCACAGAAAAGCATTTAAAAGGAAAAATATCTTAAAACGTCACTGTAATAAACTGTAATCATTAGATCTGTCATGAGTCAAAAGTCATGAGTGTTAAATTGCTAAGTGAGTGTCACTTGTTGTCAGGGTTGGATTTAGGTATGATGAAAAAAATAGTACAAAAAATTGAAAGGAGAGTATTTGTGAAAAAATTATAGTACACTTTTTAATTTTGATTTTAACAGGCATTAATTTCCTCCTCTTCCAAGTTTATCAATTCTTCAATATTAGTTTCATCCTTAGAATTTAATTTTTTTAACATATCCTCAGTAGGAATAAAATCAGTACAAATTCCACTTTTTTATCATCTTTGATGGCGTCACAACAATAAATTATGATTATTTCTTATCTTAGTTTAGCAAATAATAAATTAATCGTACCTACTATTAGACATTAATGAACTCTTATTAACTACCTGATAGTGCAATATGCAAAGTTGCTCTTCAACAAGCTAAGTATAGAAAAAAAATATAGTTAACGGTAAGTCCCCGTAAATAGTTCATTGATCAAGCTTATTTATAATCCGTGGTAATAATTAACAAAGGCACGTGATAAGTAAAATCCACATATCAAATTGTTATCGTGATACATCAATATTCGATATTTATCCTATTCTATCGAATTCATGTCAATTTCGATATATTTTTAACGCAACTCTGGTTTCATGCTCCTCGCGCATCGTCAACTTTAAAAACTCTTTTCAACTATTTTCTTCATGTCTATTCTATTTTACGATTTTTGAATGGTTTGAAAATATGTATGAAATAATAATCATGCTAAAAGTGACGATATATCGATATATTGTAGATATTTTTCGCTCGATAATTATCGATAGTTTTTAAAAAGTGGATACAACATATATCGATATATTTTTGTATTTGCCTTGTATTACTGTACCAGTGTAGGTACCTAAGAAGTCCCCGTACATAGTTCATTGATAACTATTATTTATAATCCGCAGCTATAATTAACATTGACATTAAGACGTGTTAATATTGATTTTGTATTGTATAAAAGCGTTACCAACGCGATTATATTCCAAAAAACTTTATTTTAAAGTTAGATTGAATGGTATATTGGTTATTTGAGTACTTAGTAATGAGATTACAGTATTTATTCGTACTAGCGTTAGATATGGATAGTATATAGTACAAAACATGAAATAATAGTACAAATATTTTAATTACAGTACAAAATGCAGCCTATATGAAAGTCTCAAGTATTATCATGGAAGCTAGAGGTAAGAAGAACGATCTCTGTGTATCAAAACACTACGTGAAACTGTCGTACAACACTACGACAGTTTTTAATTTCGGTGGCGCTACGGTAGCATGTAGATATAAAGTAGTGGTGATCTGAAGATTTAAGTGCTCGACTACCAACGAAAACCTTTATCTGAATTACGACGATATTTATCTAGGGACACCTTATATATACCGCCTGAACTGAAAATAGCAAGTAATGAGATTGATTTATGGTAGGTAGATAATTCAAAAAAACTACAAAAGATTCGATATTAGGGCTACAATTAAACGAGAATTAGTAAACGATATAGCCTCGTCGATCACTACACGTAATTTCTGCACTCAATCCAGAATCTTGTCTGTCACACGAGAGATCCACCAGTTTGGATTTATTTCACATTATTATCACGCAGTGGCGTGTACAAAGATTATAGTATATAGATTATAGTATATATATATATAGATAAGAGATCTAAGATTCTTTTCTTTGCAAAATTAATTGATGTTGTATTATTTACGTATTATAAACTGATAACTTAAGTAATAAATATAAACTAGTTAATGTTTATAAATTAAAACGAGATATCTGCACGGAACACATACGCAGAGATAAGAGCGTAACTCGTACGGAGTGCACACGCCTGTTATCAGTGTTATCATATATCACGCAAAGCTTCCTATTTTGGCATCAGGATTTTTTTTTCAACTGCAAGATAATTTGGAAAACAGTGCCTAATGCGTATTTATAGGCATAATATTTGAAGAATGTTTGTCTTCAAATATTATGCCTGCAACAATCTAATGCGGACTGGGGAAAGAGTTTTCAGTCCTAAATAGTATGAAAACCGACAAGACGTACAAATTAGTAGCCAAAGCTATATTAAAACTGGATAATTGAACAATGTTTCATAAGACATGGGAAAAATTGTGTTAATATCACTCCAACGGATAAAATGATTAATGTGATGAGCGTTTCGATGTATAAAAATGAATAATAAATATCTACTAACAACTGATGCCTATTATTAAACAGATTTATCATTTACCCTAGGTAAGGCCCCATATTTTTTTATTCACACCGTAGTCTGCCGTATTTTTCATCGACTGGTACCGTATTTTCGAATGAACGAGAACGAGTTGGAATCATCGAACCAGTGCGTTAACCACATTCTATCATAAAAACAAATTGTGCTACTTTGGTTGATATTCAATTGAATTTCAAAAATACAGAAACGTACGACTTCTGTCAAACCATGTTATATCCCTGTACGAGCCATTTCAATCAGCAACAGCAGAAGCTACTGTATGACTACTACAACCAGTTGTATTACAAAATACCAAGTGTTTTTTGTTATAAAACAAAATGTTTCTAAAATTGTTTCTATAGTTAGTGGCGTAAATCCTCTAGTTTACTTTGTTGTTACCTCTTATACCTTATTTTCTCTATCTTCTATTGTCTCCTTGAAAGCTTTCATTGACCAAGGAGCCTTAAGAACAGATTATCATTGTTGTGGTTACATTTCCATTATGTTGTGGTTACATTATCATTCTGTTGTGACCAATAAAAACGAGGAAAATGTAACGTACATGTCCCATAATACATGTTCCACTGCTGGACAAAGGCCTCCCGTGTCTGTACAGTGGGTATACAGAGAGTCAGCACTTAACATGAACAATTTCGCCTTGGCACCAGGGATTGAACTCAAGTTGCTCGAGAATATTGAATTAAATTTTAAAGTTTTTTATAGTGCTAATCTCTCCACTTAAGATTGAACATTAAATCTGAGGGAATCGAACCCACGTCTTCGGCATTCGCGGCCTGACGCTCTAGCCACTGAGCTATACGGCTGATAACCACAGCAACGAAAATCTTAACGCCTTCTTTCTACATTGTTATTAAGCATTTGAAGCAATGCTTGGCGCATTTAGCTCAGTGGCTAGACTAGTTCGATTCCCACAGCGGCGACAATCTTTTCGTACTTTTTCTACATGTTTTAATATTGAATTAAAGGGGAGCAGCCAGACATGGAGCTATCACTGAAGCAATAAAAATAAAAATAATAAGAACACAATATTAAACAAACAAGAAATAATTTAATCTTCAGTCTGTCACACACAAGTCATAAGATTGTCTTTTATATAACATATAATAAATATTGATTGACAAGTTTGGTAACCAAAATGAGATTTGCATAGAAAGCTTGTATTGATGAAAAAAGAAAAGTATTAGGATGTTCCTCATACAATATTATGCTTTGAGAATTTAAGCATGATCGTTGTATATATGAATGGAGTGAGTAACATTTTAATATTTTCAACATTTAAAAGTACTTAATAAAAAAATTGCTACAATTATTTTGAAGAGCGCTTTCTTAATAATCACACTGAAAATTCTGGTACTAAACTTTTTGGAATTCACTAATTTAGTAAAGTATAATTATATAGTTATTGGAAAATTTATTGTCAAAATGAGAATAATTACAGTACAAAACAGTAATAGTGCACTAATCTATTAAGTCTTCATGTATAATTTTCTAGTGCAATTAGGAATATGTAATACAGTCAGTTATATATAAAGTAGCTTAAGCTATCATATCATATAAATAAAACATAGTATATAAATGCTATCACTGTAAACATTATAGACACGATACCAAACCAATATTTTTGGAACCAATTTCTCTCATCTTTGTTAATTGCCACTTTCTTTTCTTTATACTTCTTCTTTTTGCCACTCAACTTCCACTCATATTCAGCAAGTTCTTTTCGATTCCGCTCCTCTTCCAATTGTTTCAGTCTTGTTTCTTCCTTTTCCTTTTCTACTTTGGCTGCAGCTTTTTTAGCCTCACAACTCTCATTGCAATCAACTGTTACCTGTTGCTGCCGCACAGCATTGCATGGCGCCTCTTTTTTCAAATTGCCACACATGCAGTGTACCTTTGTTTTCTTCAAACAAACTTGATTTTCCATGCACTGACCAGAGTGGCAGAGTTTCTTACATCTATGGCCACATTCTAAATTCTTCGGACATTGTTGCTGGCAACATAACATTTCTTCTGTGGCAGTGGATAGCTCCTTACACCTTATATATAATTCTGTTATACCACAGTGGCAACGGACTCTATCTAAAACTTCACATGAGGGGCATGGTCCAGGATGACACCTTAGTTTAGCACATTTGTGAGTGCATTTTTCAGGACGGACTATTAAACATTCTTTATCGCACGGTTTACATGCGTAAGGCACTTGTGGATAGTCAGGATTGTGTACATAAAGATGGCAGAGGAGAGCACATGAATGATTTGTACATTCTAGAGGTTGACCACATGGGCGCCCGCAAGGTCTCCGAGTTGCCGAGTGGCATGGCTGCTCATCAACCTCATGCTCTCCAAAACATGTAACTTGTACTGGCACTTCACATGGCGGGCAATCTAATGTCATAACTTTAGACTTTGGGGGCTGTATCTCCCATGGTGTAGCAGGTTTCTCCACCTGCTTGAACACAACTGTCACATATTCATGACATTTTGCTCTACATTGATGTCCACATTTTTCATATGTTTTCAAGCATATGGCTTTACAAGGCGGGCAGTCACCAAAATGACATGTGTGTTTATTTTCATCGCTATGACCACATTTGTACTTT